CTTGCGCTCCGCCTTGATACGTTCCTGCGTGTCCGTTTTTCCGGTCTCTGGTGGCGGGTTGTCGGGGGCGCTCGGGCCGCCGCCACCTCCGCACCCACCGCGCCTGGCTGCGCTCAAGGACGAGCCGCAGACAGTGCCGGACGTCCCGAGCTTCGGCGACAGCCCTCCGCTGTCGCCCATCGACATGGACACGCAGGAACGTATCAAGGCGGAGCGCAAGAGGCTGCGCAACCGCATCGCCGCCTCCAAGTGCCGCAAGCGCAAGCTGGAGCGTATCTCGCGCCTGGAGGAGAAAGTCAAGACCCTCAAAAGCCAGAACACCGAGCTGGCGTCCACCGCCAGCCTGCTGCGCGAGCAGGTGGCGCAGCTCAAACAGAAAGTCCTCAGCCACGTCAACAGCGGCTGCCAGCTGCTGCCCCAGCACCAGGTCCCCGCGTACTGAGCCTGAGCGCGGGGCGCATGCGCGGACTCGCTGCGGTGGGGGGGCGCCCAGGACTCCTCCGAGACTCGGCGCCCCCGGACTCGACAAGCTGGATCCCCCTTAACTCCGGGTGGGGACCCCGAGCGCACAGCCCCCGCCCTCGCGCCACCTCTGTCTCCCCAACCCCGCGCGTGTTGCACAAGCCCGTGCCCCGGCCGCCCCTTTGTGCCGCCGAGGAGGGGCTCCGAGGGGCGCGCAGCCTCACGCTCTGCCTTTCTTTCTTTTCTTTTCTTTTTTTTTTTTTTTGCCTTTTGAAAGAGAGAACGGGAGTGTCCGATTTCGCCCTATTTATGTTTCTACTCGGGAACAAACGTTGGTTGCGTGTTGCGTGTGTGTTTCCTTGTGTTGGTTTTTTAAAGAAACGGGAAGAAGATTAAAAAAAAAAACTCCCTTTCCCCTCCCCCCATCGTCCCTCTCTTTCCCCTCCCTCCTCCCGACACTTGTCCCTCTCTTTTTGTTTGGTTTTGTTTTGCTACGAGTCCACATTCCTGTTCCGTAATCCTTGGTTCGCAGGTTTTGTGTTTTCAGTAAAGTCTTCGTTACGCCAGCTTGGCTGTCCGCCTCCTTCTTCCCCCGCCGGGGCCGGTGGTGGGCAGGGCCTGGCCTGCTCCCATCCCCCCCCCCCTTCAGCCCCTTCCCGCCCCCCACTCCCCGGCGAGGCGGGAGCGTGGCGTGGGCGCGGGCCGGGACTGCAGGTCTGCGCGGCGAGCGCCACCTAGATGCAGGCTGTCGGCTCTGGTTCAGGTGTCATCAGAATTGGGCTCCTGGGCTAGTCTTGGCAACTTAGCTGGTATATCCTTTTGGGAAGAGGGGGATGAAATGAAAAGAGGGAGGAAGGGGTGCACGCACGTTTGCCTTATTCTTGGGGCCTCACTTCTTCCCACCTTCCACCTCCATTTCCATCCTGGTGTTTGAGAGGCTGCGCCATGCAGAGTGATGCTGGTCTCGCGGTCTGCGCTCAGTAGGAGCTTTTATTTGCCGATATTGGTTTCAGGGGTACCTCAGGCCCACAGCCTTCTGTCCAAGATTAGGAGAAAAGTGGCGCCTTAGAATCATTGAGGTGCATTTAAATATCTCACCGACACGCCCCCTTTTCCCACTCCCACCGCCTGTTCTCCCGTTTGAGGAGACGCTGAGCGATGTTGAACACCTGACTTGGGTCACACAGCATTTTTTTTTTTTTTAATTTTGTTTTGTTTAGACAGGGCCATTCTATGTAGTCCCGGCTGTCCTGGAACTTGCTGTGTAGACCAAGCAGTCCTGGAGCTGAACACTGCCTCTGCCTCCTGAATGCTGCTGTTAAAGGCGTTAGCCTCCCCCTCCCCCCATTGAATGTTTATTTTTAATGCTGAAGAGGCTAGGACTTCAGGCTGAGGTACAGCCTGGGCTACAGAATGAGACCCTGTCTAGAAAAACAAAGGCCAGTAATAAAAAAGGAACTTGAGCAGAGGTTTCCTGACTAGCCGGGTTTTGTAGGGAGGCGTTCTCCTGAGCCCAAGCTCGAGAGTTCAGCTTGGGTACCATGGTGTGGCTTTGCACCCATCAGGCCTCTTCCTCTGTGGGTCTTGTAGGCTGTGAAATGGGAGTGTCCTCCCCCATCCCTTTCAGAATGGACCAAGATTAGTGTGTCCCTCATTCCAGAGAAGTGAGGCCTGGATTCCTGTCACACACACAAACACACAAACACACACACAGTAGGAATCTGAACTCCCCCTTGGCCTTTGGAATGCTGGGATGCAGGCCAGGAAATCTGCTTTGTTTTCTTGCCTTTGTAGCGCTGGATGAGATCTGGGTCTTCATAAAGTTTTGTCTTGTTGTTTGAGACAAGGTGTCACTCTGTAGACCAGGTTGTCCTGAAACAGATCCGCCTACCTCTGTTTCCTGAGTGCTGGGATTAAAGGCTGCGCCACCACCGCAGCCACTGATGATGTTGATGTTGGGAGCTTTTTTTTTTTCTAGTCAGCTTTGTGAGCCGCTGGGCACACAACCTGTGATTCAAGCCCCCAGGATGCAAACGAAGGAGGGCTATGGAAGTTCCAGGCCAACCTGGGTTACATTGGGAAGCCCTACCTCAAAGCACCCAGCACTCAGTACCAGAGCACGTGCCAAGGGTGTCTCTGTCCCCAGCAATGAGAGGTTGGGTCAGCAATTCAAGTACTTCTCTCTCACTCTGAGCCTCAGTTTCCCAATCTGTCACACAGGCTAAGGCTGCCTTACCCAAACTTCCAAGGAGACATACCAAGCCCACCCGAAGTGTTCAGAGAGAAGCGGGGAACGGCACGGGGTGTCCTTGCACGCAGGCGGGACAGCCTGCAGCCCTTGCCCTGGCAGGCTAAGTAGTGCTGGCCTGAGCTGCTGTGTGCAGGCCAAGGTGTGTGTCAGCCTTGGCCTGTGCAGCTGTGGCTGACGTTGGACATTGGGTGCTAGCCCAGACTGGGGAGGTGGCCTCGCTCCACCTACCCTTCCCAGAGCCATGGCTCACAGTCCTTGCCCACTTTTTTGTTTTTGTTTTCTGTTTTGTGGGGTTTTTGTTTGTTCCTATGCAGGACCTCACTATGTAGCACAGGCTGGCCTGGAACTCTCTGGAACCCTCCCACAAACTCCCAGGGGCTTCACACTTGTGGTTCATGTCCCTTGTGGGTCCAGCAGGTACCTGGGTGACAGACCCTAGGTTTTGGTATAGGCTGTAACCATAGAGGCATCTCAACTCCTGTCCTGTCTGGGACCCAAGTCTGCCTTCTAGAACCTTCCCCTACACTCTGCTGGGGATTGGCCGGAACTCAGCTATGAGTCATAAAGACGTTTGCGTCCCAGGGTCCCAAGGCTGGCCAGTGGGGCTGGTGGTTTCAGCTCTGGGGACAGGTGAGTGGGTTGGTGGGGTGCCACTTTGGTCTGTCACCCTGCTCTTGCCAAGACCATGTGTCCTCTGGGCTATGGTAGCTCAGCTCCTCAGACACAGTTTGGGGTCCCCCAAATCTTGATGGCACTTTGTTTCCTGGGCATCAACACTGGTGAGCCAAGGTGAGGTGTGCTTGCCCTGTGTGACTAACAGGGAAGCAGATGTGCTCACAACTGTCCCAGCCTGTCCTGGGGCCTTCCATTCCTTCTTCACCCCACAGTTCTGTTCCTCAATTTCCTCCTGTGCTCTTGTCACATCTTGGATCACATGGAAGCTTTTTTTAAAAACTAGAACCGCATATAGCTCAGGCTAGCCTTGAATTCACTATGTAAGGATGACCATGAATTTTTTCTTTTTTTTTTTAAGATGATTTTGTGTGAGTGTTCTACCTGTATGTACACCTGCAGGCCAGAAGAGGGCACCAGATCTCATCGCAGGTGGTTGTGAGCCACCATGTGGCTGCTGAGACTTGAACTCAGGACCCCTGGAAAAACAGCCAGTCCTCTTAACCTCTGAGCCGTCTCTCCAGTCACAAGCATGAATTTCTTATCCTTCTGCCTCCACCTCCTGTGTGCTGGGCTGAGAGGCTTGCATCACCACCACATCCAGCTTTATAGCCCAAGCTGTCCTGGAACTCGTGACAATCTTCCTGCCTCAGACACCAACATACCTGATTTTATGGGGTCCTAGAGATGAAACCCTCTCATACATTCACTGAGGCTTTGGAGCTCTGTCACCCAGGGGACAGTGCTAGCTGCTGCTTTCCAGTTCCCAGTGTGCAACCCCACTTTCCCTGGGCAGTTGTGACATGCATGTCACCAGCTGTAGTGACAATTACTGATTGTGAGCCTGCTGACAGCACCCCAGCATGCTGGGGTGTCTCACCAGTGTCCTTGTACAGACAGATGAGTGGTCTGGGTTTGGGATGCAGAGTGCTCAAAATGGGGGCTCAGTTGCTGACCCCATGCTGGCTCAATGTTGAAGCCAGGGGTGTCTTGAGGGCCTGGGGGTCACAGTGACTGCTCCAGGTCTGAGGACACCCCTAAGGTGAGGCCTGGCAGTCACCCTGCTGACTGGACTTAGTGAGCCAGGTTTTGCTGTGGACGCTGCAGTGAGTGTGGACAGGTAAACTCCACTTCTTTGACTCAGTTTCTTTTCTTTTGCTTTTGTCAGACGGTGACATTATGTCTGCCAGGTTGACCTCAAACTCACAGAAATCTGCCTGCCTCTGCCTCCCAAGTTCAGGGGTCAAAGGTGTGTGCTATCACATGCCTGTCCCCTTATTATTTTTGGAGACAGGGTCTCACTGGCATCTGGCTCAGTGATCCATCAAGGCAAGGTGACCAGCTGTCCTAGGTCCAGCGCTGGTTTGTAAACACCAGCCTTAGCGCCTGTCTGGCTGTGGCTGTGGCTGTTTTTGAGACAGGACTGTCCTGGAACTTGCTCTGTGGTCAAGGCTGGCCTCAGACTCAGAGATCCGACTTTCTCCACACAGCCAGTCTTTCTCTGGGTGTGCTCAGGATAAGATCAGCTGCGTGCATACATGCGTACAGCTAGCACGGTGCTGGAATGCTACCTGCGCCCCAGCTGTCTGTTCTAATAATCATGAAGAGGCCTTTTAAAGCCCCCTCTACAGCTGCCATGGTAGCTCACATAGGGATTGAGAGAGGGCTGCTGTTTAAGAGGTCCTGAGTGGTTCCCAGTGCCCAGGGCAGGTGGCTCAGGAGTTCTCTCCAGTCTTCCAAAGACACCTGTATGCTCATAGTGTGGTCTTAGTGTTTCTGTGATACACCATGCCCGAAGAAAATGGGGAAGGAAAATGTCTGCTTTGCTTAGGTGTCCGCACCTCTGTTTCTCATTGAAGGAACCTGGAGGCAGGTGCTGGGCAGAGGCCATGGAGGGGTCATCAATCACTAATTAAGAAAGTTTCCACAGGTTGGCCTACAGCTTGACCTCACTGGGACATTTTCTCAGTTGAGGCTCCCTCCTGTCTGGTGATTTGAGCTTGTGTCAAGTTAAACTATTCAGAGCACATATATAAATAACACTAAAAATAATCTTTAATGAAATCAAATGCTAAAAGGGGCTGGAGAGACTCAGTAGCTAAGAGCCCCGATTGCTTTCCCAGAGGACCCAGGTTTGATTCCCAGCGCCCACATAGGGACTCACAGCCCTCTCCAACTCCCACCCTGGGGATCCGATGCCCTATCTGACCTCCACAGACATTGCATACACAGTACAGACATACCAAAAACACTCATAGATGAAATAAACTGCAAAGACGAAAACCAATAGAAGGTAGGGTGGGGACAACTCAGGTTTTGATCCTAGCCCCACAGAACAACCTGAGCGGTTGCATGTGCCTGTAACTGAAGCGTGCTCACGCACCACACAAGTACATGCGTGAATACTCATGTTAAACATTATTTATTTATTTATTTATTATTTATTTATTTATTTTTGAGACAGGGTTTCTCTGTAGCTTTTTTGGAGCCTGTCCTGGAACTAGCTCTTGTAGACCAGGCTGGCCTCAAACTCACAAAGATCCATCTGCCTCTGCCTCCCGAGTGCTGGGATTAAAGGCGTGCGCCACCACCCACCTGAAGTAAAACTATTTTTAAAACATTATAGCCAAATGTGGTGGCTCATGCCTCTAATCCCAGCACTCGGGAGGCAGAGGCAGGCGGATCTCTGAGTTTGAGGTCAGCCTGATCCACAGAGCAAGTTCCAGGACAGCCAAGGCTGCACAGAGAAACCCTGTCTCACAGAGAAAAGTGAGTTAAAGCCTCCACCTGTGATTGCGAATTGGCGTTTGTGTCTTTAGTACTGCCAGGTTTGCTTCTGTGAGGTTTTGCTGTTAAGTGCGAATGCGTTTATTGTCACTTTGTCTTCTGATTGTGTCTTTTCTGTGGACACAAGACACACGTCCCTCAGGCTGGGGCACGGCTGTCACAACTTGAGAACGCTCAGCCCTTTGCATGGTCTTTTTGTCTCTATTCATTTATATCCAGCACCCCAACTCTTCGCGTTACACTGCATGTTTGGGGCTGCAGAGACGGCTCAGTGGTTAAGAGAGCTTGCTGCTCTTCCAGAGGACCTGGGTTCAATCCCCAGCACCCACATGGCTGCTCACAACTGTCTGTAACTACAAGGTCTGACATCCTCACACAAACATACAGGCAAAACACCAATGCAAAAATAAAAATAAATTTTAACTGGGTGGTGAAGTTCCAGGATAGCCAACACTACACAGAGAAACCTTGTCTTGAAACACAAAAATAAATAAATACTTCAAAGACGCATATGTGGTGGTGAAATGGAATCAGGGTCGTTTGCAGACAGAGTCACGCTCTGCAGCCCAGGCTGGCCTTGAGCTTGCAGAGATTTACCTGCTTCTGCTTCCTGTGTAGTAGGACTGAAGATGCGCATCGCCAGGACTGGTGGTCTTTTCCCTTTTTCATGTGGTAAACGCTTTCCCTGCGTGTATGTCCACCACATGTGTGCCCGGTGCCTACTGAGACCGGAAGAAGGCATTATGTCTGCTAAGCCTGGAGTTTCAGACGGCTGTGGATTATCATGTGGGCGCTGGGAACCGAGCCTAGGTCCTCTGCAAGAGCCACAGCACTGCTAACCACCGAGCATCTCTCCAGTCCCTGGCCTATTTTTTTGATTGACATGTATTAATTTGTGTGTGTGCAGAAGGCAGAAGGTGACTGGCAAGGGTTGGTTATCTCCCCCCACACTGCTACTGTGGACTGCACTCCGGCTGAGTGCATGTTCCCTAGAGGAGTGGCTCTGTTCTCACCTTCTAGACAGTAAAGACATGGGCCCCTTCCTCTCCCCCATCCCACATGGGACCCTCCTAGCCCCTGTTAAATAATCCCAGGTGTTAATGGCCAAGTAACCCTGAAGACCTCCCCAGGTACCCCTTCCAGTGGGTTTCCTTTCTCCATCCTGCCTCCTGTCCTGCCCCCACACGATCCTATCCCCTCCATCCTTCCTCCCAACTTCATGCTCCCACGACCTGAACTCATATTTCTCCCGCCGTTGGTATTTCTAACAGAACCAGCCCAGAGCGCTGCTGTGCACATTTCTTGGAATGAAGAACTGAAGACGGCCTCCTCTTACAGGCCGGCTTCCAAGATTACACCTTCTTCTGCTCCTTTCCAACTCTGTGACCCTCCAAGGTAAGGTGATGGCTGAGCCTGCACTGAGGAGTGGCCTCTCATGCCCAGATTATAGGTCCAAGGGCTGCTGGGTCTTTATCGCTTGCTCTGCACCTGTAATCCACGGATATCTCCAGATTGTACTCCTCAGCTTCCCCTCACAGTGACCCCCCCCATCCACAGTGTGTTACCACCACATGTCCCTGCTGCTCACCCGTGCTGCCTTCTACCACCCCTCCACACGCACCCAACCCCCACTAGCTCTCCACCCACCCACCACTCACTTGTCTGTTCGTCTGTCTGCCCATCTCCCCCTACCCCCCCCTTCAATCCCCAGGCTCTGCCTCTCCGCTCGGGAATGGCATCAATGCAGCCGGCAGCCCTACTCCAGTTCCCAAACCTCATGTCATCCAGTGGGCCATGCCTCCCCCAGCCCCAGCCAACAACCCCTGTTCATCCAGAGAAAGTGGCCAAGCCATCTCCTCAGACCCAGAGTGATTCCCGTCTGCCGAAGGAGCCAGCAGCACCACCGTCACGGCAGGTGCCCCGCCTGAGGGCCGTGGTGGAGAGCCAGGCCTTCAAGAACATCCTGGTGGATGAAATGGACATGATGGTCTCCCGGGCGGCCACCGTCATCCAAGCCAACTGGAAGGGCTACCGGCTGCGGCAGAAGCTTATCTCACAGATGACAGCAGCCAAGGCTATCCAGGAGGCCTGGCGTCGCTTCAGCACACGCCGGCTGATGCGCTCCAACAAGCTGACTGTAAGGAAAGGTAAGAAGGAAGAGGAGGGCGACATCCCCTACCACCCTCCACAGCAGGTGCGCTTCCATGCCCCAGAGGACCAGCCGCCAGTCATGGTGAGCAAGGAGACTCAGTTCCCATCCTCCGACAACCTGGTCCATTCACACAGCACAGCAGTCCCAGGTACCGGTGCCACTGGAGCCCCCACGGGTGGCCTCATGCCACAGCAGTCTGTGACTGGCAGATTCACAGGTCCCAAGTATCCACCCTGCATGTTGACCAAGTCTGTCAGGAGCTCCTGTCTCATCAGGCACTTGGAAGGGGACAGTGTGAAGAGCAGGCACGTGGCTTCCAAGACCATCAAGTCGGGAACCCCAGAGTCAGCAGCGTCTGGGAGATATGGCCAGGCCATCCATGGAACCCTGAAAACCCAAACCCAGGTCCACATTGAAGCAGATGTCCCCAAGGCTTCACTGCATATGTATCCGGTCAACAAAACTCCTACCAAGGTGTGCCCAGTGACTTCCACCCCTAAGGCCCTGGCCACAGTGGCCATGGTGGCCACAACACCCAAGGGTCCACTGCAGACCTACCCCACATCCCCAGCGACAGTCATGAAGATGCAGTCACCAACCTGCCCGACTTCCCCAGTGGCCAGGCCCCTGGCTCATGTGCGACCCAACCCTTCATTCTCTAGCGGTCCACCTCAGGTGCGGTCTGTGGTCCCCATGGCCAGGGTACAGCCCCCAGGGTCTGGTGTGACCTCCACAGTCAAGGCCTCACCACGCCTAGGGGTTCCTGTCAATAAGGGCCCACTTCAGACTGGCTCTGGTCCCGTGATGGCAAAGACTTCACCCCAGATGCGTTCAGTGACCAGAAGTCAACCTCAGACATGTGCAGTGTCTTCTTCATCCAAAGCCTCCTCCCAGCCGAGCCCTACAGTCAAACCCTCACCACAGACTCGCCTGGCGGCCATGATAACCAAGACCCCAGCTCAGATACGCTCTGTGGCTGCTGTGCTCAGGACCCTGTGCCTGGTCCCTACAGTGACAGCCTCAAGTCCCAAGGGTTCACCCCAAACTCCAGTGGTTGCTGGAATTTCCAACGCCCCATCCCAGGTCCACCTGAGCAGCCCAAAGGCCAAGGTCACTGTGAGCACCAAGCAGACCACTGCAGTCGTCAGGGTGACTTCTCAGGCTTACTTGGCTGAGGGGAAGGGCAGGTGTGGACCCCGCGGACGTCTAGGCACTGTAGCTCCTAAACTTCCAGCCAAGTCTCCATTGGAAGTAGAGAAGATGAAGCCTGGGCCCCCAAGGGCACCCAAGAAGGAAGCAGCTCCCAAGACTAATGTGGCCATTGTAGCCAGGGCTCTGTCTTGGACAAAAGTGGCAGAAGACAGGAGCAGACCCTTGACTCAGACCCAGCAGAAGGCAGAGGTTGTGAAGGTGCACTCCAGGGTGTATATACCTGAAGAGATGACCGTGACCCTGTCCCAAGCCCAGCTGGCTGTCCCCCTGACCAAGGCTACCTCCCAAGCCCAACCACTCTTTGGCCACCCTGGGCCCCTGCCGACCTCACCCCTTTCTAAAGCCATATCGCAGTCTCGTTTGTCATCTGGGCTGGCCTCGGGCCTACCTGAGGGACAACGCCCACCCATAGGTTCCTCTGCTGCCCTGTCCTCCTCACCACTGGCTGCACACCTGATGTCACTCACAACCCAGCTCCAACCTGCTGGTGAACAGAACAGATCCATGTCCCGAGCTCCTCTGGCCACGTTGTGTCCAGCCACAGGCTCCCCTCCGGCACGCTCCCTGGGGCTGACCTTTGTTCCCCCTGAAGGATATCCAAACACATGTCCGCCTGCCTCCACTTCCCAGTACTTTCACCCCACGAGAAAGTCATCGCAGCCGCCTCCACCTGCTGAGCACGCAAAGATCACAAACACCAAAATCACCAAGGCCACGTGTGAGGTCTGTCCCCCAAGTAAACTCAGTAAGGCCCCATCCCTGGCCCAGCTCATCACATGTCTGGCCAAGGTTCCATCCCAGGCCCATTTGCCCATGGGGCTGGCGAAGGCTCAGTCTCAGGCTCAACTGGCCTCCGAAATGGCCAAGTGCCTCTTGGCTTCCCACCCTGCCACTGACCTCAGTAGTAAGACCCAGTCACAGCCACTCCTGAGCACATCCAAGCCATCCGTCCAGTTCTGGCAACATTTTGGAACACTTAACTCTGGACCCCATGCCAAGCCAGATGACAGGAGCATGACCCAGCCCCAGCTCCAAAGCCATGCACGAAACAAGGCCACGCAGAACCCACGCTCAGTGGCCACAGATACCCAAGGTATGCAGGTACCTCTGCTGACTCCCTCTGGACACCCTGTGTGCAATGGAGAATCCTGGGGTGACAGCGGACAGGCACGGATGCCACCTCCACCCCCTATGCCCAGCCAGGCAGTGCCCTGCCATGAAGACCTGGCGGCGTCCATTGCATCCCTGTGTGCAGACCTGGTGACCATGCTGGGCTCCACCGACGACCTGCGAACACTCCTGGCCAAGACACTCTCTCAGGGGGAAGTAAGGACAGCGCTGAGCCAGGCTCTGTCTCGGGAAGTCTTAGGGCCTTCTGTGGTCAAGGCCCTGCCTCAAGGCATGCTGGGAATGGCATTGATGAAGGCACTGTCATGGGGTGAACTGGGCATCTCCCTGTCCCGGGCCCTGTCCCGTGGTGAGCTGCGTCCAGAACTCAGCAAGGCCACACAGGGCAAGCTGGCTGAGGTTCTGTGCAAAGCCTTGACGGAAGATGAGAAGGCCACACTCAGCCAGGCGCTGTGCCAGGGTGAGCTGGGAGCTGTTTTCACTCAATCCCTGGCCCAGATGGCCCAGAGGACAGGCACCTTCCCCACCAAGGCCACCTCGAAAACGGTGGGAAGCCGGATGACTACGGCGCCTGCCCCAGTGGAGGTGACTTGCAGCGGGAGTCTGTCAGTTGCGTGGGGACCTGCGCTGGGTTCTGTGCAAGCACGGTGTAGCAAGGTCAGGCTACTATGGAAGGGCTTGCCCTGGGGGCAACATGACGGGATCCTGTGTGGGGAAGGGGATGGGAGGATCGTGGAGGGGTCACCCTGCTTGCCACAGTCCCCCATAAGTTCCTTTTCTGGAGGGATGGTCACCAGCACTTACCAGTGTCCCCCACTGACTTGGGAGAGGGATTTGGGATACTCTTCTGGTCTGTACCTGAGGCCATTGAATCTTGACCCCATGGCATGTGGTGAGGGTCCCCATGTCCCCAGGCGACCTTCCCAACAGCCACCTCTTTGTCCATGGCAGCCACTTGTTGCCAACGGTGCAGGCCCCAGCAGTAACCAGCCATCCGTGGCTAACAGCTCAGCTCCAAGCTCCCACCAGCCACCTGTGGCCAGCAGGGTGTCCTACCCATGGGCGTCGAACCAACAGGGCAGCGTGGTGGCCAGCAAGCATTCAAGTGGCGTGGATGGTGGGAAGCACCCCATGTCCCAGTGGCTCCCCACCCACTGTCAGGGCAGTGAGTGTCAGTGTGCGAACCTGGGGACACACAAGATGTCTCCCTGTGGGCATTGCTCTTGCAGAGTCAGGAGTCACAGCTCATCACCCAGGCAGACCGTCAGGCAATCGGGTCATAGACTAGTGTCGCCGCTGGGCCATAAGAAAATGGTCACCGTAGTGAGGAACATAACAGATGAAGAGATTGATGGCGTAAATTCTAAATCACAAAAAGTCTCCAGCACGTCCACCTCAAAACAGGAGAGGCACCCCCGAGTGTCCTTGCCCCCGTCCTGTCCCCAGGGTCAGAACACTGGCCGTCATCACACGTCCCTTCTGGATGAGTTACTAGCCACGTTCCCACAGCACCCACAGATGGTGTTAGCCAAAAGCTACCCTAGGGGTTCAGCTGCTCACTGCCAGGATGGCAGCGGCTCTCTCAGCTCCCTGCAGAGCGGCGACTCAGGCAGTCCCTCCTCATCACCCAGCTTGACACCTTCCGAAGTTCTGGAAGGTTGCAGGGAGGGTGACTTGAAGGACGGCCCACAGCCAGTGTTGAAAGAGTCCAGGGAGGCGAGGCACAAGTCCCAGGGGCGGCTGGAACAAACGTGGCTAGTCGGTTCTCAGCACACGGAACGCCCGTCCAAACAGCCGTCCCTGGAACTTGGGTCCCTCTTCCTCCATAGCACCAGCCTGGCCCTGAATGTTCACTGGGACTCAGACAGTGGGTCCGAGTACAGCACTAGGGACCTGATGGAGGTATTGTCCCGGGACACAGCTGCTCCCTGCGGTAGGAGTCGCCAGGTCCATACTGGAGATGGGCAGCCAAATGGGGTCACTCGGCTGGATCCTACCCTACCCCAGGACATGCTGGCTGATGGGAGAGCCCCAAGCCCTGGTCAGGCACCTGAAGCCAGTGAGGGATCACCATGCCAAAGTCAACCATTAGATGCTACAAGGCTGTGTCCAAGCCAATCCCAGCCTGCATGGCCCAGTTCTGTGTCCCCCAGCCTGGCCCAAGCATCCATGGACACTGGGGTGGCCCCAAGTCTGAACCATCCACCTGTGGCCGCTAAGCTGTTCCCAACTTTAGCCCAGTCATCTATGGACACAGGGATGACCCCAACGCTGAGAGAACCACTGATGTATTATGAGTTATCCACAAATTTTAATCAGCCATTTCTGTACTGTGGAGAGCCCCCAATCTATACTCAACCACATATGGCCTCTGGGGTACCCTCAAACTTTACCCAGACATCCGGTACTAGAGTAGTGGCCTTAGGCAACCAGGCAGTAAACAGTGGGGTAGCTTCAAGCCAGGTCCAGCTGTGTGCCACTACCCACGTAGCCCCAAGTGTCACTCAGTCCCCTGTGAACAGCTGGCCACCACCCGGATCCTCTTCCATTCCCGTACAGGGTGCAGGGTCTCCAAACTCAGCTCAGACATCTGTAGCCACCAGGGTATCCCCGAACTTTTTCCAACCATTTATGCCCTACAGCGTGCCATCAAATTTCACCCAACCTTGTTTGGCCACGATTGTAACCCCAAACTTTGTACAGCCATCTATGTCCCACAGTGTGTCTGCAAGCCTAGCTCAGCCTTTTATGGTTAGTGTTATGTCCCCAACCCTAACCCATGCACCTGTGGCCACCTTGGGAACCCTGAGCCTGCTGCCGCCCACTGTGGTGTGTGGTGTGGGTCGTGGGGACAGCAAGTCAGCTTTAGGCCCCCAGCAGCGTGCACGTGAGGACAGCAGTGCAGCTCAGAGCCAGCTCTCCATGCCCTCTCCGTGTGTGAGCAGGTCAGCCCAGCCCTCTCTAGGAGTCTGCTCAGGAGACAAAAAAATCAGAGGCCAGGCCAGCCCTCAGGATGCCACCGTCCACTCTGAGCCGACACCGGCCAGCAAGAGGCCCCCAGATCCGGGAGCTCAGCCCATGGCACCTGCAGAGGATGTTGGCCTGGCCTTAGGGGCTAGTGCCCCATGTCAGACTTGGTTCAGGGGTGTAGCTCCAGGGGCGCCCCAGGGGCCTGTGGCTGCTGGACTGTGGCTAAGTATGTGCCAGAGGGACAACCCAACCCCCATGGCTGTGGTGACTACAGGTGTGGGCCAGGACCCGTGCCCAGCTGTGATGCCCAGTATGCAGGTGCCATCCGAATTCTTCCCACCCCAGCTGGGCACCAGCTTCCCTCAGACCTGTGTAGACCCACAGCTCCTCTCTACGGCCACCGTGGTCTCACCCAGCTGCCGGTACGCAGGTGTGGTCTTTCCAGATGCAGCAGTGGCTCCTGTGGGTGGGGCTTTGGTCCAGGGTTCTGTAGATGGAAACACGCCCTTTGCACTGGTCCCCAAGCCTGTGGTTGAAAGTGAGGCGCTCAGCCTTCCTCGAGGGTCTGTGATCAGGGGCATAGGAAAGAGTACCACCCCAGAGCCCATGGTGGATGGTGTAGCCCGGAATGTCCCCCCAGAGTCCATGGTGGGTGTCAAGGCCCAGAATCTACCTCTAGAATCAGTAATCAGTGGTGAAACTCGGAGCCCTGACCAAGATACTAGGGCCTGTGATGTGGCCCTCAGCCTCCCTCCAGGTTCTGTGGTCACTGGCGTGGCCCCTACGCACCCTCAAGAGACCAGTGGTAGTAAGGAAAAACTGAGCCCGGCTGAGCCAAGCTCCCATCCTCCAGGCCCACACCCAGGTAGTGTGGCCAATGGCACAGGCCCTAGCATGTCTCTGGGCTCTGTGACTCCAGCATCCATGCTGGCAGGCATCAGTCCACGACCATATCAGACAGCACAGGCTGGAGAGAACTCCTGGGTTCCCTTCCTGGCACCCCATGTCACCAGCCTGGCCAGTGCCCCAGAAGTCCAGAGAGGGGCCCAGGACCGACAACACTCGCCCACAGTTTTGCTAAGTGCCTCACAATTTAGCCAAGACCCTGGGCTGACAAAGCTAGTGGGTGTTGATAACCTGACCTTGCTGAAGCTGAGAGAAGTCGATGACATGGTGTCCTTGACCCTGGAGTCTGGCAGAGACCCTGTCAAATCTGAAGGTCTCGAAATCACCCCAACGACGGGCCTTGGCACCACGGGAGGCCAGAACCATGAACTTGTGGCTTTGGAAGCTGAAAATGTTATCAAAGACCAAGTGGCCTTGGCAAAGGAGGCTCCCAGCCAAGCTAGCGGTATCACCCCAGTCCCTGTACAGGCCCCAAGTTTAGGTGAGCACCCTAAAGCCAACAGCATCACCTCTGTTCAGCCCTTATCCTCAGAGAGCAGCAGCGGTCCTCCTAGCGTCCACCCTGCTTCTGGGCCCCCAAGCCTGCAGAAGGCCCCCGTGGTTGGCAGTTCAAGCCTACTTCCAGCTTCCAATGCCATCCCGGTGCCACCACAGCTGAGTTCCAGCATTGCTGGCACAGCCAAGGGGCCTCTGGAGTCAGAGGTCTGTACAGGAGACCCCAGCATTCTGCAGAGCTCAGGGGGGACTAACTTAGCACCTCCAACTAAAATTAGGGCTTCCGGTGTCTCTCAGATGGGAGAATCCCAGCACCACACGGCTGCTAGAACGTCCTCCCACTCCATCCAAGGCAGCCATGTCTCAGAACTTCTAGAAGGTTCTATGGGCAGATTGCTACCATTCAGTAGCCCACTGACGCCAGCATCTCAGCTGTCATCAGAGAGTCACAAGCAGTCCTCAGGGTCACCCATGGTGGGAGATGGGAGGGGACAGAAAGCACCCTCAGGAGTTCAAGGGATGTCACCAAATGGCTCCCGGAGACCCCTTCTTGATGAAGCTGCCCATGACACCGTACACTCTGGCCAGCCAGGAACAGGTCTGACCCTTACCACACACCCAGGTCAGAGGCCCACTTTTGTCACGGGCCCTGGAGTTGGCTATGATGGGGGCTCCCAAATCCCCACTGCACCTCATGGCTACAAATATCATGTCACAGTCCCTAAAACTAGTTTTGATAAGGGTCCCCGAAAAGTCCCCACCATGCTCTATGGCCACAGACTTCAGTATATCACAATGCCCCAAACCAGCCTTGATAGAACATCCCAGGCCCGCACCACAGCCCACAGTCAGACTCCCCATCATGTTGCAGGACCCCAAACTGGCTTTGGTCGGGTCTCCCATGCCTACAGAACACCCCACGGCCACAAACCCCATCTTGTCACACACCCTAAAACTGGCCATAATAAGGTATCCCCACCCCTCACTGTACCCCAGGGCCCCGTGGATGCTGGCCTGGCTGCTGGCCAGTCATGGAATTCCAAAGTCCCCAACGTATCGGCCAGAGCCGCGGCAAGTGCTGGGCCACCCCAAGGCCCATGGCATCCCAGCAGGGGCCACAGGCCATGGGACCCCTTGGGGGCAGAGGCAGCGCTGGACCAGAAGCCCTCAGCTGAGCTGCTGGCATCAGTCCGTGCCATGGAGAAGGTTGTTGTTCAGGCTGTCGTCACCATCCAGGCATGTGCGCGTGGCTACTTGGTGCGCCGCACTGTGAAGGTGTGGCATCAGTGGGCCACCATCATCCAAGCTACATGGCGTGGCTACCGTGTGCGACGAAATCTGGCGAGGCTGCTTAGAGCCACCACCATCATCCAGGCAGCTTGGCGCGGCTACTGCGCTCGCCGTGATCGGGCCCACCAGGTGTTGCTCCCTACGACGTGGCCTGAGCACAGTGGCAGAGCCCAGGGGACCTCTGACACCAGGAACAGCTCAGAACACCGCTGCTTCCTGTCCTGCCAACCTGATGTCTGCAGTGTCTGCCAGGCCCTGGGGCCTCAGGTGGCGAGTCCCCCCAGTGTTGTGATGCTTGTGGGGTCCCAGCCACGCACCTGCCACTTGTGTGGCCACACACTGTCTACTCGCGTGGTGCAGGGCTTTGGCCAGGGCATCTCAGGCCAGTCTGGCTCTCGCTGGGCGTCTCAGCAGTGCCCCCTGCTCAGCCAGCAGCACAGAGCGGCCATCCTTATTCAGGCGGCCTGGAAGGGCTACAGGACCCGCCGCCAGCTGAGCCAGCAGCAGTCTGCAGCCAAGATGGTTCAGGCCACATGGAGGGGACATTATACACGCAGCTGCCTCACCACGGATGCCCTCTTGGGAACAGGAGGCCCATGGAACATCTCCAGGGAGACTTCACGCTGTACCTCGAGGGCTTACTCTTCGCACTGGCCTGGTGTCTAGGCGCTTGGCTGTGGACAGAGACACTTGGTGGCCATGGTGTCCTGTGGCTCTTGTGAATACAATGCACTACAGCCTGCCCTGGTCACGTGTCTTGAGTTAAAACACAACGGGAAGTCTAGTGCGTGCCAGAGGCTTAAGTCCCAGCAGCTCCAGCCCCTGTGGGATCTGTAGCCAGGGTTGGGGAACCTCAATTATTTTCCAGGGTGTACAGTCACATGGTTAATGACGTGGCTTATCTGGGGCTAGCAAGATGACGCCGCCTGTAAAGGTGCTTGCTATTAAACCTGTCTTCCCCGTGATGGGAAGAACTGATGCCCACAGTTTATCTTCTGACTGCCCCCCCATCACACACATGCTTACACACACACACATAAGCACACATACATAATGCATGCACACACACATGCACACAAACACACACACACCTGTCATCTCAACACCGGTCGTGGGGGCAGGAGACTCAGGCGTTTTCGGTCAGCCTGGGACATATGGTGAGACCATATCTCAAAAGCAAAGATCAACAACCAACAGTGAGTACGTGCCTGGCCAGGCCCAACCACTTTGACTTCCTCAGCTCAAGTGTACATGAGAGTACCTCCATCCGAAACCACTAGAAGGTTCTAATTGTATCCACCGGTGAGGTGAGCCGGAGAGAGACAGAGGCATCCTTAGCCCTGGTCTGGAGGATCCTGGCAGCCAGAGACAAGGGTTTTCAGCTCAGGTTTGGGGCGACCGTAGAAGGGCTGTCCCAGAGTGGCTGGGGACAGGGTGTGTGTGCCAAGGGAGGGTGGGGAGGGAGCCCAGCGCCCTGCGCACCCCGCTCTCGCCGGTAGGGGGCACGCGGGCGAGCTACCACCTGGCCGCGCACCTGCAGCCTGGGCGCTCGGCGGGAATGGCGGGTTCCCAGCTACTGCGGCTGGCGCTGGCCTTACTGCTGCTAGTGAGACCCAGAGACTCCTCTGTCGTCCTTGTAGTCACAGGTAAGCTGGTGGAGGAAAATGGCGTGACTCCGGGAGACAGCGGGGCTGGGGGCACAGGGCTCAGACCCTCCCTTCCCAGACAAAAGCAGGGTTGGTACCGATCCCTGAGGGACATCTGAGCTGGGACAGAGGCCAGTGACCTCCCTGACACTTCAGTGAGGACACCCCCCACCCCCGGTAGTGGGAAGGGCAAAGGATCGGGCTTCAGCTAGAAGTCAGTGGCGTCCGACTTAATTCCCCACCGCTACCCCTGAGACAGTTGAGTTTATTGTAGATGAAGGTTTCATTTCCAAGAGTCCCACATTTATTCCTGGAAACCGGACTGGCTCCAACCTGTGGACGACCTTATTAGGATCGATTGACAGGGATTGGCACCTGCCAGCCTTCCATCTTGGAGACTGAGGGAAAGTCCGATGCCAGGCACACTGCCCAGAACAGCTCTACTCTGTGAATTACTTTCAAGTAAACCGTGAGACCTGCTCAGTTCTAGGTACTTAACAGGCTCGGTGTTTGCCGCCTCCTCTAAACTCTCTGGTTTCTTCAGTTCACCCAGGACCTTAATTTCCTTCAGAGTTCCTGTTAGCCTTGGGGTCCACCATGGAGCATGAGCCAACTTCACTTTCCCAGAGATTTCCCAGCGCTGAATCGCACTCCTATTTGCTTTTTGTCCAGGGAGACAGAGGAGTGGGAGGACTCAGCTCAGCGCTGGCTCTCCGCACTGAGGGGCAGCACAGAGACCTTATTTCCTGATATCCACTGTGTGGGTGAGGCTAGGAGGAAATAAAGCGATCATCCTGGGCAGAAATGGCATGGGAGGGGCAAAGCCACCGATGAATGACCTTGTGCCCCGCACACCTGGTTGGAGCCACCCGGATCTGGGAAGGAAGTCATAGTCGGAGGTGGATGAGGAACTCTTTCCTCCAGGGATGGAATGTGAACCAGGGAGCCTCAAGGGACAGCGTGCAAGTCAAAGAGCTGATCCCTGGGAGTGGCTTGGTTCAGGGTGTGTGTGCCTGGTAGAGTTTGTGGTCAGCATTTGGGGCAGAATTCAAATCCTAGTATAGATCAGAGCTCCCCAGTTTCTCAGAGCTCTAGAAACCTGGATGGGGTGGTACCTGCTCCTGAGGAATCGAGCTGAATAAAGCTTCAACTTCCTGAGACTCAGTTTCCCTCTTCTGTAAAGTGGGAGTCACAGTCAGTGGCTGAGTCCTAACAGGTGGCACTCTGGCCCAGATCTGAGCGTCAGGGAGATCAAACCAAAAAACCAAGAAAGACAGAGAGAGAGAGAGAGAGAGAGAGAGAGAGAGAGAGAGAGAGAGAAGGGGAGGGGAGGGGAGGGGAGGGGAGGGGAGAGGAAAAGAAAGGCTTTCACAAGCTGAGCAGGACTGAGATCAAACCATGAGCAGACCACCTTCCCCCACTACCCTAAGCTTGATAAACACCCCTCCTTGTTTTTTTGGTTTGGGTTGTTTTGTTTGTTTTTTGAGACAGGGTTTCTCTGTAGCTTTGGAGCCTGACCTGGAACTCACTCTGTAGACCAGGCTGGCCTCTAACTCACAAGATCCACCTGTCTCTGCCTCCCCAGTGCTGGGATTAAAGGCATGCGCCACCACTGCCCAGCCTACCCCCATTCCCCCCCACCCCAGGTGTTGCCTTTTCAGTATTCTGGGAAGCAGTAGGAGTAGGATCAACCACCACAAGTTCAGAGTCCACGACTGTCTTCTTCACCTCAAGTTCAGAGTCCGGATCTGTCTCCTCCAACACAAGTCCAGACCTTGCCTCCACCTCCCCAAGTCTGGAAGTGACATCCACTCCAGACTCCGACTCCAGCTCCACAGGAACAAACCCAGGCTCAGCCTCCCCAGAACCAGAAACAGCCTCTCTCCCTAGCTCTGGCTCCCCAGGTTCCGAGCTGACCACCATATCCCAGTTCACGAATTTGCTTCCACAAGGTTCACCCACCGTGTCCAGCCCCAGCCAGGGTGAGTGGAAGGCGGGGGGGGGGGGGGGGCGGGGGGGGGGGGGGGGGGGGTGGGCGCGCGCGGGCGCGCGTGAGAATCTGGAACCTGGCTACAATTCTGGCACCAGTCAGCAGGGGGCGACACAGACCTGGGAGTGTGTGGGTCGACTTCAACCCTTTTGTTCATAGTATACAGTGTTCTGCCTGCATGTATGGCCAGAAGACGGCACCAGATCTCATTACAGATGGCTGTGAGCCACCATGTGGTTTCTGGGAATTGGACCTCTGAGCCATCTCTTCAGCCCGTTTGTGCCCTTATTAATCTCACTAGTGTGGTGCTGGCTCCTGAGTTCACAGCTATTTGCAAGAAAGACAGGTTGCATTATCTAGTTGTAGCTGCTTGTGGTGGCCCAGTCCTGTATTTCTAACACCAGGAGAAGGCAGCAGGAGGATTACCTCAAGTTTGAGATCAACATGGGCCACATGGTGGGTCCCATCTTAAAAAAAGAAAAACAAGCCAGGTGGAGGTGGTGCGTGCCTTTAATCCCAACACTTGGGAGACAGAGGCAGGAGGATCTCAGTGAGTTTGAGGCCTGATCTACAAGAGCTAGTTCCAGGATAGCCAGGACTGTTACACAGAGAAATCCTGACTCAAAAAAACAAACAAACGGGCTGGAGAAATGGCTCAGCGGTTAAGAGCACAGATTGCTCTTCCAGAGGACCCAGTTTCAATTCCCAGCACCTACATGGCAGCTCACAACTGTCTGAAAATCCAGACAGTTCCAGGGGATCTGACATCTTCACACCAATGCACATAAAATAAAGATAAATAAATCATAAAAAATTTAAAAAACAAAAAAACAAACAAAAAAACAAAGGGGGGAAGAAAAGAAAGAAAAGAAAAACAAATACAAAAAACACCCCACATGAAATTATATATTTATAAAATAATAGCATAGGCCCTGGAGTGTACCTCAGGAGTGGAGCTCCTGCCAGGAAGCCCCCAGCGATGGACTGGGGGCGTGACTTTGGCCAGGGCTGACTCTTTCCTCTCCCCAGATGCAGACAGCCTGTGGATCCCCACATCACGCAGGAACCCGGGAGTGGTGATCGCTGTCTGTCTGCTTGTGTCTGTCTTGCTGGTTGGCTCCGTGCTCACTGCTGTGAGACACTGTAACCAAAATGCAGCAGCTTTTCAGAATCTGGATACAGTATCCATGGTGAGATGAGCGCCCTCGGGTTGGGGCAGCTCCTTCTCATTAGACATTCACCTCAGTAAAGCCCTGTGGTGCTCGATGCTAACCCATACCTGTTCCTCTCCTAGGGCAGCGTGAGCCAGAGGCTGCCGTTTGCGGACCGCCTACAGTCCTGACTCTCAGAGGCCTGGAGATGGGGTGGGGATGAAACCTGGGAAAAGCAGCAGCTGGGAAAGTCTCCACTGCACTGACCTGGGGATGAGCCTGCGGCAGGAGCACGGCTTGAGCCCAGGAGTTTCAGGCCAGTTTGGCCCACACATCTAGTCCTCAACTCAAAGATGAAGTCAATCCAGCACTTGGGAAGCAGAGACAGCAGGGTCATGTGTTCAAGTCCACCCTAGGCAACACAGGGGGTTTGAGACCAGCACTGAGCTGGAGAGATGGCTCAGTGGTTAGGAGCACTGGCTGCTCCTACAGAGGAGCAGGGTTCCCAGCACCCACATGGCAGCGCAACCACCTGCGACTCTAGTTCCCGGGGATCTGACACCCCTTTTAGCCCTGCAGTCACCAGACTCACTGGTGATAGATACACAGACATACATGCAGGCAGAACACATTTAAAAAATAAATAAAAACTGAATAAAATCCTTAGTGTTCATAGATGCTTCCTGGGCCATGCATCCATGAGACCAATAGTAATTAGCGCCTATGTACCTTGTGCCAGAGTCCCACTGGTGACCCTGTGTCTGTGCTCATGAGGGGTGATGGCTGCAGGGTGGGGGAGAGCATTTCAGATGGGACCACAGGGCAGAAGACATCCTTGTGTGGCCCAGTGTCCTGGCAGGACAGAAGCCACTCTCTAAGGAGGTAGATGACCTAAACCTAATGGGAAGCAGACTGGGGAAAGCCACAAACCCACATCACTTTAAGAAGCTCACAGAGCCCAAGCAAAGGCCCTGTGGTAGGAGACACATGGATTTGTTTAACATTGAAGAGCACAAGGCCTACGTAGATGTGAAGGGAGGAGGGGTTCCTGACTGTTGGAAGAAGATGAAGTTAACAGCGAGCCTCAAAACCTTCTTGGGGCAGGAGGTGCCAACAGACTGCACACAGGTCAGGCCTCCCGCCCTGCAGGTCTCCAGGCAGCCAACTTTCCCAACACGCTGTGGATGAGGTCCTTTATCAGCATAAGGAAGAAAAGTCCTCCCACCCCACCGACAGGCTGTGCTCTGATGACTGCTGGAGGGAGACCTCATGGCCAGTCTGCGGGAGGCTAGGGTGAAATATTAACTTGGTTCAGAGCCACAGATCAAAGTGACCTCGGGTTCCCCTTTGCCCCGGCCGCAGTCCCTCTTCCAGCCCCAGCTCCCTGGGTTCCCTACTTCCAACTGCAGCTCTAACTTGTGGATAAAGTTTGACTGAAGAAGCTGCTAACTGTCTGGAGCAGCACAGCAGAGCCGAACAGCCCTCACAGAGCCTTGAGGGCCTTGATTGGCGCCTCTGAATGCTGTCAGGCTATTTCTGTCCTCCATCAACCTTCTGCCTGGCCACTCACCACTCCTCCCTCCAACTCTGTCTCTGCTTCCCGGGGTCACACACTTGGTCACACATGGGTACTCACACAACTTCCGGCCCTTGTGGTCACCCTGCCCTACCCCCTCCTCCAATCCTGAGTGTGCAACCTGGCTCAGCTTGGGTCTAGTGGGACAGGTCTGTCCTCTGCTCCTGAGACAGAACACACACGTGGTCCTTACAAGGGCAGCTTGAGGTGAGTACCAGATCTGTGTCAGCGTGACAGTCTTCTATCTGGGAAACTGGGGTCTCAGGAGCCCTGCAAGCCCCCAGGCGGCTCAGGAGTCCTGCTAGAAGCTGAATGGGTTCCCCAGCTGACCTGGCACCGGGGTTTCTAACCCCTAGGGCTGTCCGGGAAGGGTACTGAGGGGAAGGCTGGATGTCTGCACAATCACTCCAGGCAGCTGTTGCCTGGCTGCCTGTGCCATGTAGCTTTAGGCTCTAGGGGTGGGCGTATGTCCTGGCAAGCTGGCTGCCAGGCACTCAGGGTCTTACTGACCCCTCCCCCATGTAGAGAAGCCCACATCATGGCAGCACCTCATAGTCCTTCCTGCTGAGTGAGGTGAGAACCTTGACTTGTCTGGACTCATGGGGAAACCGGGATCTGAGGTTCCTCCTCTGGAAGGCCCAGAGCTGCTCCATATGAGCTCATGGAGGGGGGGACTTGGGTATAGAGAGGCTACCTGGGATTCTGGGGAACCACTGGACCAAACCCACAGCCCGAATGCAAGATAGTTTCCATTTGTTAATTTTTTTTAATTTCATGTGTATAGGGGTCCTGCCACAATGTCTCCTGAGGACAGGAGAGGGTGTCAGATCCCCTGAAATGGGAGTTTACAGATGGTGTGAGCCTCCATATGGTGCTGGGAACAGAACTACCGTTCTGTAGAAGAGAGGCCAGTGCTCTTAACCAATCACTGAACCATCTTTCCAGACCCACCTTCAATGTTTTAGATTTACTGTTCATTTTGTGTGTGTGTGTGTGTGTGTGTGTGTGTGTTTCCCTAGTGAGACAGGGTCTCTTGTTGCCCAGGCTAGCCTCGGACTTTCAATGTAACCAAAGATGACCTTGTCCTCCTGGTCTCCGCGCCTCTACCTCCTGCAATGGGATCACAGGCTGTAGTCAGTGTCTCAGCAAGAGCTGGAGGGAGGACGGGAAGATTTTCTGTGGAACTCAGAAGGGCAGGCAGCCCCAAGAGACTGACAGGCTGGCCAGGTGCTGGCCAGATACCCTTTGAAGTTAGCTAAATTACCTATTTTTGAGACAGGTTCTCCCAGTATACTTGCTGTGTAGACCAGGCTAACCGCAAATTCACCAACATCTGCTTGCTTCTTCCCCTCTGGGGTGGCCTTTCATGTTACCATGTCACAATTATTTAGGATGTGGTGGTGGGGTACCATGGTGTGTGCTGTGGAGATCACAGGGCAGTCTGTGGGAGCTGGTTCTCTCCTCTCTGTGTGTGTGGGCCCCAGGCAGAAGCCAGGTCCTCTGGCTCAGCACCCCTGAGCCATCTCCAGGAGCTTTCCTATTCTTCAGTTAAATGTTTAAATTATATTTTACTTGTGTACCTGATGCGTGTGTTTGCATGCACACGTGTACTAGTGTACAGCACAGACTTCAGAGGACAATGTTGCAGGGGTCAGTTTGCTCCTATTGTGTGGGTCCCAGGGATTGAACTCAGGTCGTCAGGATTGGTGGCAAGCTCTCTTACCTGCTGAGCCATCACACTGGCCCATATTTTCCAAATTGAAGCAATCTTAAATTTTTAAAATAAAAAGTTGAGTTAGGGTCTCATTATGTAGATCAGGTTAGCCTCAAACTCATAGAGATTCACCTGCCTCTGCCTCTGGAAATGTTGGGATTGCCGGGCAGTAGTGGCACACTCCTTTTTCTCAGCACTCAGGAGGCAGACAGAGATAGCTAGATCTCTGAGTTTGAGGCCAACTTGATCTACAGAGCAAGTTGTAGGACAGCCAGGGATATGCAAAGAAACCCTGTTTCGAAAAGCAAAAACAAGCAACAGTCCCCTCTCAAAAGTGTGTGCATATGGCTTAAACATTTTTTTTTTAATTCGGACATGATCTCACTATGCAGTCCAGGCTGTCTGGGAACTCATGGTAATGCTCCTGCCTCACTGTCCCTAGGGCTGGGATGACAAGTGTGCACTGCTTGCTTGAGACTCTGCTCAAGAAAGAAAGAAAAAGAAAACGAGAGAAAGGAAGGAGGGAGGGAGGAAAGGGAAAATAGTATGAGTACCTGGGCATGCCTTAAGGAGGGGACTGGGACCCGGAGAGAACAGGAAGCAGCTAGTGGAAGAACTAGGGAGGGGGTTCCTGGAGGAGGGCGCAGTAAGTGAGGCGGAGGTGAGGCTGGGAGAGAGTGAGCCGCGGGGGCGGGGCTGTGGGGGAGGTGAGGCTGGGAGAGAGTGAGCCGCGGGGGCGGGGCGGCGGTGGGGGGGGGAGGCAGGAGCGGGCCCTGGGAAGGAGATGGGGACACAGGGCTTTGGGATCCGTGAGGAGGGTATGGATTTTCTACTGGGGCTGAAAATCCTGGGAAGGTTAGGAACAAGAAAGCAACAGGCTCAGGGTGAATCTTATGATAAGGTCCAGATTTCAAGAAAGGACCAGCGTACAGGGACTCAGATGACAAGTTCAACCTAGGCTGTTCCCACCCCATGCTGTTCCCACCTGAACCTGTTCCAACCCCAGGCTGTTTCCTGCTCCAGGCTGTTGTTCCCACCTGAGCCTGTTCCCATCCAGGCTGCTCCCTACCCCAGGCTACTCCCCACCCCAGGCTGCTCCCCACCCCAGGCTGCTCCCCACCCAGGCCCCAGCAGCCTCTGCCTCTGGCCTCACACCTCCTGTAGCTGGGCTAGGCCTGGTCAGCACCTCTAAGAAACTCCCTGTTTCCCCCTTGCAGCTGAGGACTGAGGACCGGGCCTCTGGCCCGGACCCTCCAACGCGGGGTAGGGCTCACACTGTTTTCTGAAGCTCTGCCAGCCCAGGTCTGCTCGGTGCTGCCTGACTCAGGTCTCTCCTAGGATTGTTGGTGAAGAAGTTCTCACTCGTCCTAAGCCCTGATCACACTTGAATCCACGCTTCCTCTCACCATCTCCAAACCACTTCCCAAAGAAAGATCTGCAGGAGGAGCCCTGGTGAGCACGCTCCTAGCTCTGGCCTCCATTCCCAGCAACCCGGAGAGTGCTTGACCAAAGCAGCCACACCCGCCAAGGAGCATCCTAGGGGCCATTGCGCGTCTAGTGTATACAAAGCTCTGAACAGCACAAAAAAATCCCCAGAATAAAATACAGAACCTGAGCCCGGTCCCAAGGCCCTCCCCTGGACCCCAGCCTCAACTTTTCTCTGAGACCCTCCCCTTACTTTCCCTGGGCCCTGTCCCAAGTTCCCCGCAAACTCTCCCCTAGGCTCCGCCCCCGACTTTTCTTTGAGCCCCGCCCAGCTCCATCCTTGAGATCCATCCTTGAGATCCACCCTGACTCCCTCCTCCTCCGGCCTCGCCCCCGGCCTTCTGCTGAAAATGGGGAAGGCCCTCTATAATGGTGAGTATTATAGTGAGCCTTAGAAGGATCACATCAGAGCGTAGAGAGAGGATCAATTCCGCCGGTGTGACCCGGACGGTCCAAAGCAGGGAGGAGCCTTGTCCTGCGCCCAGACCACGGCTCAGCTGACCACCAGGCTCAGCCACTGTCCTCGCTCTTCCCCACCCGTGGGCCTGCTCTGGCCGAGGCTGCGTTTCAAGCCTCAGTTTTCCCACTTTACTCTTCTGTCTGATGCTGGAGACAGATCTTGGCAAAACTCAGGAAAGAGTGGCAGAGGACTAAGTCGCCGCCCGGTCCCCACCGACCGCACCCTTTCCGGAAGGCTCCATTTCGTGTGGCCCGCTGCGGTCAGCACTGGACAGCTCCCTGCCATACTGAGTCCCAGAAATGGGTGTGCCCAGCTCGTGGCTCCCATGACCCTGTGTTCAAATCTCAGCATCCAGTGACCATGAGTGAAGGACAGGTTGTGGTCCTAGCACCACAAAAGGTTTTTGTTTTGTTTTGTTTTGTTTTGAAGTGCAGGACTGAGGAGATGCCTGCCTGAGTTCAGTTCCAGGGGTCCACAGGCTGGAAGGATAGAACCAGCCCTTGATATTTGTCCTCTGACCTCTATCTGCAGACTGTGTAATGTGTATGCTCCCCACAAATAAACTGATAAAAATTAAATGCAATAAAACCATGACGCACACACACACCACACACACACACACACACACACACGTGGATTGAACACGGAAAAGCACGCAGCTGGTTCTGGTGAGAGATCTGTGAAGCTCAGGGTCCCCTGAAAATACACCTGCACAAGGAGTGCTCATGACATCTCTTTGCCTCCCCAGCGAGTCCGTGGATTCTGGAACAGCTCCTGCCAGCGCCCTAGGTGGAGGTATGATCCGGAGACGTTTCTCAGGGACCATGCTGCTGACCCCACTGTCCAGCCGCCTCGCGTCCTCGGGGGATGTAGAGTCTGATGCCCGTGTGGTTTTCACCATTGGAACTCGAGGGATCGAGAGAAGCCAGGGCCCCACTCAGAACAGGTGAGTAGCCAGTTGTGCCCAAGGAGGCAGAGTGTGCTTCCTGAGCCCTCACAGTTAGCTTGGGACAGGAGGTGAATGCCCACTGTGTTCTGGGGACACTCTGGGCTGGGAAAGAGGCAGCCATGCTCAGGTTGACCACGGTTGGTCTAGATGGTGCCAGAAAAACACTTGCCGAGCAGGTGGAGCAGAAGCTGCCAGATCAGTTTGGCTGGAAGGGCCCAGGGATGTCGGCAGGGGATGGACACCACAAGACCTGGGGAGGGGGTGCCGCAGGGCACAATTGGTGGCAACAATTTGACCATATTGGTATTTTAAAAAATCTTCAAGCCAGGTGGGCATGGTTGCTCAGGTCTATATTCTCAGCACTTGAGAGACTGAGCAGGAAAATGGTGAGTCCCTCCAGTTTGGCCTACAGTCTTCAAAAATAAATAAATAAAAGAATCTCTGGGCTGACAAAGATGTCTCAGTGGTGCTTGCCCCCAAGCCTGACAATCTGAGTTTGATCCCCAAGATTCACACGGTGGAAGGGTGGAAGGGAGAGCCAACTCTCACAACTTGCCCTCTGACTTAGTCATGTGAGCTATGGCACGCATGTGTGCCCACTGCCCCGGAAATGACATACATAAACACATGCCAATTTTTATTTAAAAACTTAGAACCCTTCTTAATTAGGGTTTTTATTGTGAGGAACACCATGACCAAAAGTAACTTGGGGGGAAAGGAAGTCAGGACAGGAACTCAAACGGCAGGAGCTGAGGCAGAGGCTGTGGAGGGGGCTGCTTACTGGCTTCCTCCTCATGGCTCACTCAGTTTGCTTTCTTATGAAGCCCAGGACCACCTGCCCAGGGATGGCCCCACCCACAGTGGGCGGGTTCCTCCCCAGCAGCCACTAGTTAGGAAAATGCCCCACAGGTTTGTCTACAGTCAGCTCTTAAGGGGGCACTTTCTAAGTTGAGGTTCCCTCCTCCCTGTTGACTCCAGATCGTGTCAAGATGACAGAGGACTAGCCAGGACAAAGTGCTGTAGGCCTGGGGCTAGATTTTGGATGGTAAAGGGCTATAACTTAAACCAGGTGTGATGACATTTGGGAGGGGAGTGGACAAGGTCAGCCTCACTTCAAGGGCTGCTGGGTAGAACTGACATTCAGGCTGGGGTGGAAACAGACCCAGGATTGAGCTCAGCAGAGTCTGGGTGGGGGCACCGGTGTGTGGACCAGGATGGGAGCTTGGCCTTTCATGGTGGACCCCAGTGAAGGTGGGAGTGTCACAATGGTGGGAGCTTTGAGGGTTCTGTAGGTCACATGTGATATCTGTTTTCATCTTTGCAGTGAAGCCAAGGGGCATGGGAATCATGCTTAAGCCCCCAATTCCCAAGATAGAAAATAGAGCTTGGGGCAATTTAGCACTGTTACCTGGGATGGGATGGAAGGAAAGACTGAGGGACCAAGTGATGCTCAAAATCTTCAGGAGAGTTGGGGAGGTGGTGCATGGCTTTAATACCATCACCCAGAAGCAGAGGCAAGAGATCTCTGTGAGTCTGAGGTCAGCCTGGTCTATATAGTGCGTTCCAGACCAGCCTGGATTAGAAAGTGAGATCCTGTCTTAGTCACTGTTCTGTTGCTGTGTAGCGATACCGTGACCGAGGTGACTTAGAAAAGAAAACATTTAGTATCTGGTTTATAGTCTAGGGTAGTACACAGCCATCACGGTGAGGAGCACTATCATGGTAGGGAGCACGGTGGCAGCTGGCAGGCAGGCCTGGTGCTGGAGCAGTAGCTGAGTGCACAGCTGATCCTCAAGTAGGAGACGACAGATAAAGGCTGGACCTGGCCTGGGCTTTGTTTGTTTGTTTGTTAAAAATATTTATTTATTTATTATGTATACAATATTCTGTCTGTGTGTATGCCTGCAGGCCAGAAGAGGGCACCAGACCCCATTACAGATGGTTGTGAGCCACCATGTGGTTGCTGGGAATTGAACTCAGGACCTTTGGAAGAGCAGGTAATGCTCTTAACCTCTGAGCCATCTCTCCAGCCCCTGAGACAGTTGTCTCACTGTGTAGCCCCGGCTTTCCTAAAACTCTCTGTAGAACAGGCTGGTCTTGAACTCACAGAGATCCACCTGCCTCTGCCTCCCGAGTGCGGAGACTAAGGCGTGCGCCACCATGCCAGGTTGGCCTGGGCTTTTGAAATCTCAAAGCTCACTTCAGTGATTTAGCTCCTCCAAGGCTAATCCTTCCCGAGCTATTCCACCAGCTGGGGACCCAAGCACTTTGAGCATAGAATCCCCATGAGGACCATTCTATTTCAAACTACCGTAGACCATGTCTCAAAACCAAAACTCAAACAAAAGAGAGAGCGAAAGAAGGAGGGAGGAGAGGGAGGAGAGGGGGAGGAGAGAGAGAGAGAGAGAGAGAGAGAGAACAGCAGAGATTTTCTTTCTTTCATCAGACCTTTTCAGGGTCTCAGGGACCAAGGTCAGGTCCTCAGTCTTTGTGGTAAGTGCCTGTATAGACTGAACCTCCTGGCTGGCTCCCTGTGTCTTCGCTCTGGGGAAGGAGCAGAGCTGGAGATGGTTTCTATGTCACATACCCTCATAACAGCTCCTGGGGCCTGGCTCTGTCGCCACCTCTCCTGCTGCACACCCGGCTGTGCTGTCCACACACTTACACTTCTGTTATTAGGATGGAACGGTCCTTGCTGCTCTCCGCCACTCTCCAGGAAATTCCCCCTGAGACTAGGAGGGGTGGTGAGTGGGAACCGGGAGGGTGAGACAAGGCAGGAATCCTGGTTGCAAGGTGGAGCCCTGGGGTATCTTGGGGCCAATGAGATCTCTTGTCCTATCCATGGTCTGAGCGCGGTGGGGCTATAAAGACCCGGTGTCTGCAGTGTCCTGCTGGCTGGCCTGAGGGCGCAGGCAAGGTGAGTCTTCACTCTAGCTCTTTAACCCCAAGGGGTGGGACACACTTAGAGTTCTTAGCCCTGGCTTCCCCTCTGTCCTCGGCCTTTAGTGCCTGGGATCTCTGGCCTGTGACTTTGTGTGCACATGTCTGGGTGGTGTGTGTGTGTATGTGTGTGATGGGGTGGAGATATCTTCAATTTTGCCGTCTTTCTGGCGCCCCTCTTCCGACGGCTGGGGCTAGACCTGCAAGCCTGCCTCTCCGAGTATGCTGAAGAGCCTGCGGTGTGTCTCCAGGGAATGGACCCTGAATTGAGGCTTCTTGCTCAAAAGGCCAGGAGCTGCCGTGAACGGTGGGGGCAGCCTCAGATCTGAGTCCTGTGATCTTTCCTGCCTGGCTTCAGCACCGCGGAGAGGGAGACTCCTTGGGGTGGGATCCCGGCTCTGTACACAGCCCCTCCTGGGGCCACCCACGGTCTCTCTTTCCTTTCCTTGGTTTTGGGGAGCCGCGCATGGAGACCCCGGGTGTCAGCCGTGCAGGGGTCCCACGGCCCCCGAAGCATTTGTGGAAGCAGCCACGGTGCCCCATCCGCATCCAGCGGCGCTTCCACTCGGACCCGGAGCCCAGTGAGTGGCCTACGCTCGTGAAGTCCTGGCGCTCGTGGCCCAGTTCCTTCCACCTCCGGTAGGTGGTGGGGCGGAGCCTGACTGAGAAGTCGGGACATGGGACGGGACCTGTTTGAGCAGATGACCTCTATTGAGGGGGAGGGGCCCGGCGCTAGTTGGCGAGACTAACACGAATGGGTATGTGTCACGGTTTGCGTGGGGGGGGGAATATCAAGCAGCCTAGCTGCTATTAGAAAGTAGGCGGAGCCTGGAGGGGATGGGTGGCGCCTGCATGGGTGGGCGTGGTCGGTGTTGGGAAGGGCAGGGTGTCAGAGTTGGGGAGGGATACATTGGGCGAGGGAAGGTCCTGGCCTTTAGGAAGGCAGCTTCGCTCGACACTGGAAGAGATGGGGCGTGGTATAAGTGGGCGTGGTCTGCAGAGGAGGACTGAGGGTGTTGTTGAGTCACGAACATGTGGAGAGGTGTGCCTTGGGGCCTGAGGTTTGTGGGCTGGGCCAGAGAGCCGGGTCTGAGCTGAGCAGCGCCTACTAGCGGTGGAGTGTCCAGGCTCCTCGGCAGGCGGGGCAGGGGCGTGGTCGGGAGGACTGTGGGTTCCCGTGTCTTCTGGGGGAGGGGATGGGCAGGGCTGAGCACCAGCTGCTGGGCTGGCGTGGTGCAGAAGGGTCCGGGCTACTCCTGCGGACTACATGGGAAGCCTTTGGTATAAGAAGTGCACTTTGGAGGAAAAGCTGTGTCTAAGTGAAGTGGCCTTGGTAGTGGGTGGTGGTGCATCGTTAACTGTGGATCTGGGTAACTCAGGGTGCCATGGGCCCCCGGTGTGTCCGTGGCACCTGCAGGTGACAGTCTGAACAGTGGCCCACCGCAGGCTATGGCTCACTGTCTGGCTCCAGTCGTCTGTGTCTTTATGGGTCCCCACTCAAGTGTATCACACGCAGTTATGTATGGGCTGAGTTTCCTTTTGGGTGGCCATTGGTGTGTCAGCAGCTAGGTGGGACTGTCCTTGCCAGTTCTCTGCTGGGCTTCAGCGGGGGAGGGGAGCTGCTTTAGAATGTTCATAAGAGTTCAGGAGTCCTTCCCAACTCCTCTCGGCATCCAGAAGGCCCTTAGGTTGCTAAGGAAAGACAGGACTCAAACCATGATGCTGGGAAGAAGTTCACACATGCTAGCTCCCATCCTTGAGGACCAGAACACAGGTCAGGCCTTACACTTAAGAAGGATTAGGGAGGGGCTGGAGAGATGGCTCAGAGGTTAAGAGCATTGCCTGCCCTTCCAAAGGTCCTGAGTTCAATTTCCAGCAACCACGTGGTGGCTCACAACCATCTGTAATGGGGTCTGGTGCCCTCTTCTGGCCTGCAGGCATACACACAGACAGAATATTGTATACATAATAAATAAATATTTAAAAAAGAAAATAATAATTAAAAAAAAGAAAGAAGGATTAGGGGAGTCTCACACCTTTCATCCCAGCACTCCAGATGTAGAGGCAGGCAGATCTCTGAGTGGAGGGGCAGCCTGGACTACATAGAAAGACCTTGTTTTAGAAAAGAAGGAAGAGGTGGGGGTGGGCCTGGAGAGATGGCTCAGCAGTGTCTTCCATGGCAATCTGATATTAACCCCACACATCTAATTTTAAACATATTAAGAATAAATTATAGTCAGGTGTGGTGGCGCACAACTTTAATCCAAGCATTTGAGAGGCAGAAGCAGGCAGATCTCTCTGAGTCTGAGGTCAGCCTGGGCTACAGAGCGAGTTCCAGGACAGCTGGGGCTATGCAGAGAAACCCCGTTTTGAAAAAACAAACAAGACTAAATTACGAAATGAAAGGAGGAGGACTGGCAGCCCTGGGTCCTCACACCTGCCCTCCTGGCACTCCTAGCTGAGGACCGCCATCTTAGCTGCACAACCAGTGTGAGGCAAGCCTGGGCTGTGGGAAACCCTGAGAAGGGAAAGAAACAGAGTGAAGCTCATGGACTCCTGCTTCTAGAACAAGGCACATGGAATAAGGGACTCCACTGGGCACGGCAATATCCCCGGAGGACAGTGTGTGTCTGTGTATGGGTGTCCCCAGGGCCAGGCACAGTCACCGAGTCCTTGGTGGGTCTGGGGAGAGGCCTTTGCACTGAACAAGCTCCCAAGATGAAGTTCAGTCAAGGGAACCTGGACCACATCACTGCCCCTCCTGGGCCACCCAGCATCACAGCCTGTAGCACCCTGAGTCTGTGCTCCCAGTTGACCCCGCAGAGCCTGCCCCACCCTCTCCAATGACTCATGATTTTCCATTTTCAAGAAAGAACAAACACATTTCCTTTGGGCCTCCTCTGATGAGGGGAGGGGAGACCCTCAGCTGCTTCACACAGCCGTGTGGGAGGGGAGGGGCTCACCCCACGGAAGTCAAGCTTACGGCTAGGAGAGGGATGTTCTGGCCCCTAGGCTGAGCCTTCTCACACCAGCCATGGATGGAGCAGGTGTAGGTAGGTCAGGACACCTTGTCTGACCTTGCGAAGCACCTTCTGTTTACCAGGTGTGGCTTGAGAACCTATAAAGAGGACCACACAGGTGGCTTGGTGGGAGGCCTCGGGTGGGAGTCAGGCAGGAAGATGGAGGACGTGAGCGTGGTGTGGAGTGGGGCAGGTGTGGAACGGAGGCTGCGAAGCTTCAGATGGAAGGTGTGCCCTGCCTGGAGAGTTAGAGAGGGAGGAGAGGCTGGAGCCCAGGCGGCAAAGAGGACCCGGTAGAGGCTGGCTGCACAGATGGAGGCCTTAGGAGGCCCTGGAGCACAGCTGGGGTGGATGGAGCTGGCTCTGCTCTCCTGGGGGAGAGGGGATTCAAATAGAAAGCAATGAAGGCCATGAGGTGACAAGAGCACCAGAGACTTCTGGGCGCTCCCTGAAGTCACACAGCAGTGTAGGTACAGGCCAGGATGAGGGCTGTGGCCTAGCTGGACTGTAGCCCTTGAAGCTCATGGGGGCCAGACTTTGAATGTCCAGTCCAGTCTTTGTGGCTTCTACTCCGTGGACATTTCTCTGTATTAAAAGCTGCTAGTAACACATGACTATTGGAGTCATTAATAAAACACAAATTGGACTGAACGAAGCAGTCATAGTACAGCCATTAATAAAATAATGCTTGGCTGGCTGCTGGGACTGCAGAGGGGTGGAGGAGCACCCACTGACCTAGGCTACTGTGAGCTCACGCTGCCAGGTGACCCAACCGCTCCACCCCTGCCAGCATTTTGGCACTACAAAGATCACATTATTGTCTTCACTTTCTATTTTCTATGATTTTGAGGGTGGAACTGAATCCCTCTGGGACCACAGTGATATTTCCTCAGGCTTGGAGTGATGTCAGGATTTCCTGGACCCTGCCTGATGACCTCTGCTCCCTAGAGAATGGCTATAATTAGCTGTGGTCCAGCAACTACATTCTCATCGCAGACTCAGTGAAGTCTGTTCCCAGCAGGTGTCAGGCTAGGGATTGGTGGGTTGGAAGGACCTCCTGGCTTGGCGTCTGAGCCCCCCCAGGAGGCCGTGTGACCCATCTGTACAGTGGACATATCTCAGCTCCAGCCATGGTTAAGTTAGGCTCCCACTGAAGTCTTGCTCCAAAGTCATGGACGCTGGAAGCCTGGGTGTCACCTTCCTGGGGACATGCAGGGCAAGGCCGGGGTTGCAGGGCATGTCCCCCCACCTCCATAGCCTTCTGTACCGCTTCAGCCTACACATTGGGCATTCCGGGTCTTTCCTTTGCCTGTGACATGCGTGAGCCCCAGTTTCCCCTTTAGTCAATTGCGACTAGACCCTGTGACTCGTGGAGACTGCACAGATCCTATTTCCGGGCTGTGGGGTCCTTCTGCTGGCGGGGTGAGGACATCTGGCAGAAGGCTCTGCCGGCGGATGTTTGTCAGGGAGACACAGCCTAGCTATTGAAATGGTCCAGACGCGGGGCCTGGGGAACATCAGAGCCGATGGGGTCATGCAGGGACCTGGGGGCTGGAGCTTCACTGCAGTGCTGCCGCTCACCTTGCCTTGCACGGTGTCTCAGTTTCCCCCACCTGGCAAAGGTCCGATCTCTGGGGAGTCCTAACCCACGAATTGATCTGGATCACTGTGGGCTGTGGCAACGTTTACCTCAGGGATTTCTCTCCCTATGAGGGGACATCCTCCCATCTCCTACATGACTTTTTTTAAAACAGGGTCTCTTGCCGCGCTCCGCTCCGCCCCCCCCTCCCCCCCCCCCCCCTCCCCCCCCCCCCCCCCTTCTGCACTCTATGCGCTAGAATCCAGTTCGTGAGCTTCGGGCAAGGGGCTGGAGGTTGAGAAAACACACACAGAGACAGACCAACACACGGAACTCCAATCACTGGTACAAAGGCCCTTCTTTAATAGCACCACGGAAGTTTAAATACCCAGGTGAAAATCCCATTCTCTGATCCTCTAGGCAAGGCACAGCTTAAAAAACATTTCTTATGGTTTATTTAACTTTTATTTTATGTGCATTGGTATGAAGGTGTCAGATCCCCTGGAACTGGATCTTCAGACAGTTGTGAGCTGCCATGTGGGTGCTGGGAATTGAACCCTGGTCCTCTGGAAGAGGAGTCAGTGCTCTTAACCACTGAGCCATCTCTCCAGCCCCAGGAACAGCTTTTAGTAACTTCAGTTAGAAGGCTCTAGCAGGGAAGAGCAGCTGAAGGCCAGGACTCTAATTGGTCCCAACAATCTCTCTTTAAAGTCGGGGTGCACTTGAATTTCGTGGGTGCCACAGTGATGGAATGCCAGGTGTGGTTCTGAGGGACTCTCAGACCGACACCAGCACCAACCCTTAACCAGGGCTTGGTCACATACATCTATCTTTCCAGCACTCGGGAGGTTGAGGCAGGAGGATTGCTATGAGTTTGCAACCAACCTGGGCTGCAGAGTTATTTCAAAGTCAGCTAGGGCTACCTGAGGCCCTGCCTAAATAAATAAATAAAGCATATAAATATATAATTAAAAATAGAGTTAGAGAATAGAGTCGCGGGTATGCTGTGCCTCAGTTTCCCCCAGAGGCCACGGTGGGAGACGCATAGCGATGGGCGGGGCCTGGCCCTCTGCTCTCCGCTGCTCTGCTCGGCTCCGCCCCAGAGCGTCTAAAAAGGCCCTGATTCCCGGGTCCCGCCTCAGCCCCACCATGCAGGGCCCCACAGCGCCTGGCTCCCCCCGGGGGTCCCCACGCGGCTCCCCCGCGCTCTTCAGGAAGTTGCTGATGAACCAGAGCATCCGCCTGCAGCGCCGCTTCACAGTGGCCCATCCGCTTTGGTGAGGCTAGCGTCTGGGACAAGGAATTGGGGGGACAAGCAGAAGTAGCGGCAGCCACCACGTTGGGCTCAGGCGTCGATCCACCCGCGTCCCTCCTCTCTGCCCTGCCTCTGCCTCTCTCTCAGTTGGTGCCTGTCTGTCTGTCTCTGTCCATCTGTCCGCTCCATTTACCGCTTCGACGCACGCTGAGGGGACTGTGTCCCGACCCGGCCGACCTAGGGCGCGCGGGGGGGGGCGGGGAGGGTGTCGCCGGACCGAAGTCCCACCACTCGGTGACCACACGGGACGCTGATAGATCTCGTGGGTGTCGGGGTTGTGGGGCCGGATGGGGGCTTCTGAGGCAGGAGTGAAGTTCCCAGGTTCCTTTCCGGGTTTGAATCCCGGTCTGTGCTAAGGAGTTGTGACCTCGTGGGCTGCGCATTTATTTAGTCAGAGTGCAAGTGGGGTGCACTGTAACCAGGCCTGTGCATTAATTTAGCGGGGACTGCTTGCCGGCTGAGTACACCAGAGACGGGCGGTCCCTCACCCAAGTCACACAGCCATTTAGTGAGAGCTGGGGGGCGTGTGATCCTGGGGGAGCAACTAACTGTCTCCAGGATGTGAAGGGAGTGTCCTGTCTGGTACCCAAAAGTGAGCCTGAGGACCGATGACAGGTCCTCAGCAGGTTGGACCTGAACGCGTGTCGGTGCCTCAGTTTACCCGTCTGGCCCACTCGTCGGTGCCGTTCCCACAGTCAGGACACGGACTGGCGAGGTGCTGTTCGCGTCATGGAACGGTTGCCTGACCCCGCCAACCCCGGCTAAGTTTAGAGCAGAAAGAAAATCAGCTTCTCGGCCCCAAGGAATCACCAGGCAGTTCCTTAACCCTCCGCGTCCAAAGGCTGGATTCGAACCCAGCATCCTGCAGTTGCCCCTGCCTCTATTTTTTCAGTCGTCCCAGGGTGGGACTGGGAAGGGGGTCTCCATCCTCAGGCATTGGGATGGCGAGTTTGGGGAGCTCATAGAGACCCCAGGGCGCCATGGGCCTGGAGACACTGAAGACTGACGGAGCCCCGCCCATCGTGACTTCACGAAGCCTGACTGCGGTGCCCTGCAAAAACCCCCGAGGGAATCAGACGGAAAGGACCGCAGCCGAGCGAGGCCGGAGTGGGTCGAGGATGCACAAACCCATCCGAACTCGTCCAAACCTCGTCGGATGAATGCAGCCAACGTCATCTGGCCAACTGGCCAGGACCCTGACGGTGACCTTTGGGTCACCGCGGGCGATCACGTGACCGCCCTTTTCAAGGTCGCCACCTCCCTGCTGCGCCCCGTTTCTGCCACACACACCTCTTTTTAAACGTTTATCTATTTTATGTGCATGAGTGTTTCGGCTGAATGTGTGTGAGCACCACGTGCGTGGGAAGCCAGAAGAGGGCGTCAGGTCCCCTGAAAATGGAGTCACAGTTGTGAGCCATCATGTGGGAAGCGAACCCCAGTCCTGTGGAGAGCAGCCGGAGTTCTTAACGGCTGAGCCGGCTCTCTCCCACCCCACAACCCTTCTGACCTCTAACCCCACGAAGAGGAGCATAGACCTACCCCGCTGCTTCGGGCGGGGCTTGCAGAAGCGGGGGGGCCTCGGCGGGGGGCGGGGCCGCGGGGGGGCGGGGGCCGGGGGGGGGGGGTGCTGGGCCCCAGGGAGGGTGGACAGTCAACCGATGCCTCTGCTCCCTGACTTTACCCCTCTGTTTCTGCCTTCAGCTTCGACCTGGAAAATGGGTTCGCGAGCTGCAGAGGCCCCTTGGACCCTCAATCTGGCCGAGTCCTCCAGCCCCCTGGCCAGCAAGGCCAGCGGCGCGAGTCCTTCCTGTACCGCTCCGACAGTGACCATGAGCCTTCATCGAAGGCTGTGTCCCGAAACTCCTCGGTGGCCAGCGACCTGTGAGATCCCTTCCTCCTTTTAGAAAACTCTTTTAGCAAGTTCTTCCCAGGAACCCCCAAGTGAGGTTTTGGAGTTTTGAAGTAGGAGTTTCCCAGAGTGTTTACTGTTAACATCCAGCATATAGCCAATACCAATTGTCTGTTGGGGACAGAGTGACACATTAATCCGTGAACAGTAAAGTCAATTAGCAGCTGCTGCACAAATACTTTTATTTGAGCTCCCTAGTAGCTGTGACGAGAAGGGAAACAGTTACTTCTGTCCTGACTCTTAGACCCCTACTGTCATTAGGACTCAGTTTCCCCATTTTAGATGTGGATAACCTAGGGGATTGGTTGGAGAGGTTGTAGTTTTCTCTGGGAGAGTCAGAACCTGAAGGCCCGAGTCAGGAGTCATTAGAGGAGGGCTCTCTGAAGCCAGCAGGTGTCCTCAGTGGTGGCCTTCCTGCAGACATGGAGAAGACATGATTGTCACGCCGTTCGCCCAGGTGGGTGTCCGCATTGCCCCCTGGCCGCGAACACGCAGGGGGACCTGGGCAGCCTCTAACAGCTGAGCACCTTGCTCACCGCAGGTTCTGGCCAGTCTCAGAACTGTCCGCAGCAACGTGGCCGCCCTTGCCCATAGCACAGGCAGCGCCACCAGGTACTGAGAGAGTGGCGGAGGGACGGGACCTGAAGGTGTGCGGTGTTTTGGGTGCTTGGGGTACAGGGGTGGGGAGAATGGGGGTTTGGATGAGTCCGGGAGAGCCTGGAGAGGTGGGCCCTCTCTGACGTCCCTGTCCACTCAGGCAGCCGATCTTGGGGACCCCTCCGTGTAGTAGCCAGCTGGTCGCCCCCACAGGTATGCACCCCACTTCCACCCCGAGGGCAGCTGTTGGAGTCTCTCAGCCTGCCCTTGGACTTCTGCAGCTCACTGTAAGCTGGCTTCCCTCCAAAGCCACCTTTGCACGGAGTCCAGTCCGTTCCCCCGCCACCCTCCCGCCCACTTTACAGGCTAGAGAGGGTTGTGGGCTTGAGTGGGTCACTCAGCACTCACGGGAGCTGTGGAACTGTGGCCCGGGGCTTCAAGGGTTGGGGTGCGGAGACTGAGTGGCATAGGCTCTCCACTGGGGGTCCCTCCCTGACATGCCTGGCCTCCAGAGGACACTGGGCTGCAGCTGGCGCAGGAGACGCTGGAGGAGCTGGACTGGTGCCTGGAGCAGTTGGAGACACTGCAGACGCGGCGCTCGGTGGGAGAGATGGCGTCCAACAAGGTGAGGACGCAGCACCCCTGCTCGTCCCCCTCCCTGCTCATCTTCCTCCCTGATCGCCTCCTCCCTGCTCATCATCCTCCCTGCCACCCTCCCGGCTCCACAGTTCAAGCGCATGCTCAACCGCGAGTTGACCCATCTGTCGGAAACCAGCCGCTCAGGGAACCAGGTGTCGGAGTACATCTCCCAGACCTTCCTGGGTGAGCCGCCTGGGCAACCTCCCGAGGAAGGACAAGCAGACACCAATACAACCCTTCTATGGAGGAGACGGAGATCTCACCCAACACAGTTGGTCAGGGCTGAAGGAAGTGATGAACAGGGACACTTTCGGGAGGAGAGGACATGGCAGGTAGCGTTCTGAAGCATGAATAGAGTTTGGGGACCGTGTGACTCGAGTCACAAAGGAAGCCTGCAGATGAGCAGCTGACCGAGGGAACAGGTGGGCTGGGATCCAGCTAGAACCAGAACTTGAGCTGGGCAGGCTCACCAGCGGTGAGAATGAGCCACCCGCCCCCTGCAGACCAGCCGGCGGAGGTGGAGCTTCCCAGGCTGCCCACCGAGGACACACGGCCCATGTCCCGGATCAGTGCCCTGTGCGGATCCCGCCCGGCCAGCCTCCCCACAACTGCCGTCCCCCGCTTCGGGGTCCAGACAGACCAGGAGGGGCAGCTGGCTAAGGTCAGTCTCCCCAAAGCTACGGGCCTCAGTTTCCCTCCCTGGACACTGGGCAGCTGTCGACAGTGAAGCCGCTGACGCTGCCTGGTCACTCGTAGGAACTTGAAGACACCAACAAGTGGGGACTTGATGTGTTCAAAGTGGCTGAGCTGAGCGGGAACCGGCCGCTCACAGCCGTCATGTTCAGCATTTTCCAGGTGCCTCCCCAGGACGTTCGGGCCTCAGTTCTTCCTTGAAGCACGAGTGGGGCCATTTAAATGGGGAGAATTGAAGGACGAATAGAAATTTACTGGGCTTAAAATGGCTATTTTAGACAAGGCACAGCGCTGTTCTGGCCCTGAAAAGACCTAGATTGGAACAGCGGGTTCCCGATCCGTATTGGGGGGACAAAGATAGAATTAAGGGACATTGGAGGATGGATAGGAGTGGGGTGATCTGAGCTGGAGCACGAAGTCAAGGCCCTGAGCGGAGGTCTGTGTCACACCCAGGAACGGGACCTGTTCAAGACGTTCCAGATTCCAGCGGACACGCTGCTGACGTTCCTGCTCACGCTGGAGGCTCACTACCACGCTGATGTGGCGTACCACAACAGTGTGCATGCCGCGGACGTGGCCCAGTCCGCACACGTGTTGCTGGACACCCCTGCCCTGGAGGTACCTAGCCCTGCTGAGGACAGTAGGTGGGTGCAGGGGAGAGTGCCACCCTCGGCCCTGACACCCCGGACCTGCCCAGGCTGTGTTCACAGATCTGGAAGTCTTGGCGGCTATCTTTGCATGCGCTATCCACGACGTGGACCACCCGGGCGTCTCCAATCAGTTTCTCATCAACACCAGTGAGTAAGGTGACCATCGACAGCTGCTTAAGACAGCCCGGACCACCCTAGCACGCAGACTCAGAGGCGTGTCCGGGGCTTGGATGGCTTTCTGCGTGAAGGGGCATTAGAGTTTGGGCTTCACCGCATACTTAGGAGTTGGCTAGTGACGTCCCCACCCCAGCTGTCTTTGGGTGGAGTGGGGTCTCGAGGCCTCGGCTGTTCCCATAGACTCGGAGCTGGCGCTGATGTACAATGACATGTCGGTGCTGGAGAACCATCACCTCGCGGTGGGCTTCAAGCTCCTGCAGGCAGAAAACTGCGACATCTTCCGGAACCTCAGCGCCAAGGAGAGACTGAGTCTGCGCAGGATGGTCATAGACTTGGTGATGTCACGGCGCGGGGCGGGGCCTCTTTAGCACAGTGTGCCGATGAGCACGGGTTCCCGTTGGCCTACTTGGTTTTATCCTACTTGGTGGGTTGTCCGGTTCGGGCTTTCTTATTTCCTCTATAAATTCAACAGGCTTTATTGGGCGCCTGTTGTATACTTCAACCGAGGATTTTCCTTTGTTATTGTTTATATTTTTGGAATTCATGATCCCCCGCCTCCACTTCTGTGCTCACAGAAAGGTGGCTTCAGCTGATAGCTATGCCAGGGCGTGTCTATGGGGTCTAATGTCCCCGGGGCCAGTGTCCCTGGCCTGGGTGACCCCCCCTCCCGCGTGTGTCTGTGGGCACACCCCTGGTGGCCCCGGAGTTTTAGAGCCCAGATTGGATCCCGCCTCAGCTCTCAACCCAGTCACAGCTTCCTGTGCTCCGCTGCGCACACTGCAGCTTCTCAGCCTCCTGCACAGCTGGGGACACTGAGGAACGAAAGGTCTCAGAAATGCAGCATCCACTACTTCATGTACCCCAGGTGCTGGCCACAGACATGTCTAAACACATGAGCCTCCTGGCCGAGCTCAAGACCATGGTGGAGATGAAGAAGGTGACCAGCCTCGGGGTCCTGCTCCTGGACAACTACTCCGACCGCATCCAGGTGTGGAGCGGGCCAGAGACTCGGTTTCCTCCTTCAGTTTTCTGAGACAGAGTCTCACTCTGTAGCCCAGGCAGCCCGGGCCTCACCAGCTTCTTGCATCAGCCTCCTGAGTCCTGGGATTAAATGTACACACACACACACACACACAAGCACACACACATGCACTTACACACACACATGCACACATGTGCACACATGCACACACGCATGCACACACATCCATTTTCTAATTAGTGCATTTATGGAGCAATGACTGTTTACGTTGCTGGAACTACCTGGTGCGATGCCTGTGCCTTAGCCACTCTTCCAGGCCTTAGTTTTCCCACCTGGAAGATGGGTGCCCTGGGCACTGAGCTTTTTAGGGATATAGTGAGGTTGTGGGTGTGGCCAGGCCCTCTTGAGCCCCCCCCTTGCAGGTCCTACAGAGCCTGGTGCACTGCGCTGACCTCAGCAACCCCACCAAACCACTGCCACTCTACCGCCAGTGGACTGACCGCATCATGGCCGAGTTTTTCCAGCAAGGTGACCGTGAACGTGAGTCAGGCCTGGACATCAGCCCCATGTGTGACAAGCACACTGCCTCTGTGGAGAAATCCCAGGTGTGTGTGCTGGGATTTCGCCCAGCTGGGGGATGGGAGACGGGAAGACCTGGTTGACTGTAACCCCATGACCGTCCTTGCCTGGATGGGGCCTGTGTTCTACCACTGGGTGGACTTGTTTTTCAAGACATGGTTTTTATGTGTAGCCCTGACTGTCCTGGAACTCACTCTGTAGACAGGATGGCTTTGAACTCAGAGATCTGCCTGCCTCTGCCTCTGCCTCTGCCTCTGCCTCTGCCTCTGCCTCTGCCTCTGCCTCTGCCTCTGCCTCTGCCTCCTGAGTGCTAGGATAAGGTGTATTGCCACCAGCACCTGGCTAGGGCAGATTCTTGATTTAGTGTTTTGAAGACAGCCTGGCATAGAACTCACTGACTTGAGATCAGCCTACCTCAGTCTCCTGAGTGTTGGACCAGAATAAGTTATTTCAAGAGGGTTTTGAAGAACGAATAGGAGTTGAGCAATGAGCGGTCCAGGCAGAGGACACCATGCAGGTGACTGTGAGACTGGACTGATACCAGGGTTCACTGAGACTCACTTGCCCCCTCTGCGGTCACCCTAAGGTGGGATTCATTGACTACATCGCCCATCCGCTGTGGGAAACATGGGCTGACCTGGTGCACCCCGATGCTCAGGAGCTGTTGGATACTTTGGAAGACAATAGAGAGTGGTACCAGAGTCGGGTACCATGCAGCCCCACCCACACCGTGGGCCACGAGCGCTGCGGTCCCGACAGGTTCCACTTTGAGCTAACGCTGGAGGAGGCTGAGGAGGAAGAGGATGAAGGACAGGCTCAGCACTGAGTATCCAGTCCTCAGAGTCACCTGGCACTTAGCTTCTGTCCTTCAAGACCAGCCCGGAGCACAGGGTAGACCTGACAAGATTTGGTCTAGCCTACGGATGCTGGTGACTTCTGAAGTGATTTCTGGCCGTGTCAGCTTCTCTCTTCACCCGTCAAAGTGCACAGCCAAGATATACTCATAGACAAATTTTGGGTTCCATTTGGAATCCTGCGGCTGGGGCCCACTGTGACCTCAGGCTTGGCATCTGGGATTGGCATCTGGGCGGCGCCTCCTCTTGCCTCTCTGTCCCGCTTCCGTCTGCTAGGCCTGGGGCTCTCTGTGTTTTCCTTGTTTGTTTAGTTTCTTTTCGACGCTGAAGATGGAAGCCTGGGTTCCCGCGCGCTCTGTGAGAAGAGTGGTCCCAGCCCCAACATCACTATTTGCATCCTTTGATGTCAATAGGTGTCTGACCTCCAACCATCCAATCACAGAACTTTACTGAGTCCCCCAGGGAGAATCCTTTTTGTAAATAGAGACAGGGAGCAGCTTCCACTGAAGTCTACTGTCTTCTGACACCAGAGACTGTGCAAGACTCTTCATGAACACTGAGAGGCAGGTGACCCTCTGAGAAGACTCCACAGGCCTCTGACTCCCTATGATTTGTTTACACATCCATTGATACTGCTGGTAGGGGTCCTCCTTGTAGTAACCTGGAGATAGGGAGCGCCAAAGGAATCAAACCAGTGTGTAGGGTATCAGCATACTCAACTGTGGGTCCCCAGATTCAGGAGGAGGAGGGGGAGGGTGCTATGCGAGTACAAGAGAGCTGGGGGCGTGGTTGGGATGGAGCCCAGCCTAGAATGCCCCAGTGAGGGGCTTGGGGCATGGCTCTGGCTTAGCACAGCTTTAGCATGTGGGAAGACCTTAGTTCCATTTCCAGCACTGTAAAAATAGAACAGACCTTGTCAGGGTCATTCACTTGTAGGGAAACTGAGTCACAAGCCATCCCTCATGCCTTCTCAAAGCTTCCATGCAGAGAATGGGCACTGAACGCTGGCGCCTTCCGGGTACTGTGTGACTGCCCTGTGACTGCTTCCCTGCTTATCGTTTTCTGGCTTTTAAGGGCGCCTGCCGCCTGCTCTGACGTCCAGCCTACGAGCAGAGGACACTGAAGTGACTTTCTTTCCAAGTGGGTCTTTGGCTGGGGTGACAGGCATGCGTCATAGGGCCTTCCCCCTTCCCTGTTCCCTCTGGGAAGACGCTAGGGTGGCAGGACAGTCCAGGTGGCAGGCGACTTCCTCTGTAGACATCATGGTTCCGGCTCTTTGTCCCTGGGGGGTACAGAAAGCCCTCTGGGGTCACACATGGAAGGCTTCCCTCTTGCAGATGTTTTAGGGGCTACCCTTAGAGATTTCCTGTTAAACAAAGTAGTATGTGTTGTCTGAGGGAGAATTTGGAAGTCACACAAAAGTATAAATAAAATAAATTATTGGGCCACCAAAAAGATTCAACAAGCCAAGGCATTTGCTTCCAAGCCCCACAACGTGAGCTCAGTCCCCAGGAATCTGTGGTGAAAGAAAACCAGCTTCCACAGGATGTCCCCTGGCCCCCTCACCTCCAGCTTCCACAGGGTGTCCTCTGACCCCCCATGTCCCACACAAATAAATGAATGTAACTTAAAAGATGTGATAGCCTGGGCGGTGGTAGCACACGCCTTTAATCTCTGCTCTCAGGAGGCAGAGACAGGCAGAGCCTGGTTTACAAAGCAAGTTCCAGGACAGCCAGGGCTACACAGAGAAACCCTGTCTTCAAAAACAAAAAAATATTCACGCTGTTTCCCTCTGCCTGTCCTTTCATTTTCCATTTCACACACACACCACTCACACACACGCGTGCACGTGTTTTTGGGGCAGGCTCTCTGTAGCCCTGGGCTGTCCTGGAGCTCACTATGTAAGATCTGCCTGAGACAGTCTCACTTTAGCGGTCCAGGATGATGAACTCACGATCCTCCTCAGCCAACGGCAAATTGTGTCACCTTGCCAAGTGAGTGAGCTACAAGCACTCTAGTCCCTGAGCCTCTGCCCCTATCTTTATTTTGAAATAAAAGGCAGTAAAGGCAGCTCCTCCTCAGAGTTCATCCCTTGGGAATAAATCCAAGTCTGCCTAAGGGGCGCCCAAAGCTTCTCCCTGCACCCTCCGTCCTCAAACCCTTTCCTAGTCCCCACCCTAGCCCCCGTTATGGTCATTTTGTGTCTGTCATTCTGCATCCTTCTGCTCCCTGGTGTGGGTGGGGAAGCAGATAAACAAGCTGCTCACGTGGCCCCAGAGCAGGCAGAGCTTCGCAGGCTCCTTGCGGGGGTGACTGAGCATCCAGGCGACTAGTTATTCTGGTCCCTCGGCGCCTCCGCAGCTGGCGGCGCGCGCGGTCTAAAACAGGGCCAGACCGGGTCCCCAGTTCTGCTTCCTGCGTGATGAAGGCGATGTGGACCCTCCAGGGCCGAACGTGGAGGGCCAACAAGGCACCCAGGCTGGGTCCGCTGCTCCCCGCCCCAGATTCCCACCTTGGCCAGAAGATTTGCAGGCATGCGTTGGGTTGCATCATAGTCCGGAAGTCTGCATTTCTGCTCCCAGCTTCCCAGCACACAGGATCTCCTGGGCCCCAGTGAATACACCGTGAAGGGCGTGGGGTGGCCAGTGTGAAGTGTCCACACTGTGAAAGACATAGGGTGGCTTTTCTGAACTGTCTTTGCTTCCTGGGTCTTTTATTGCAATTTTGGGACTCAGGGGGTCAGAACCCTTCTGAACCCTAAATGTGCAGGAAAGCAAGGGGTTCTCTGGGGACCCATCTGTCCCTTTTTTCCTTTGTGCAGAATATGACTTTCTTATTTTGTTGAGACAGGGTTTAATGTAGTGCAAACTGGCCTCAAGACACTGTGTAGCTGAGGATGACCTTGAACGTCTGTTCCTCTCCCCTCTGCCAGGTGTGAGAAGACAGGGAGACATCACCCCGTTATACTGTGCTTGGGATCAAATCCAGAGCTTTGTGCTGCTATGCAGGCTCCCCACCAAACTGAGAAATATCCTAGGCCCATTAAAAAAGAGACTTATGCTGGGCAGTGGTGGCACATGCCTTTAATTCCAGCACTCAGGAGCCAGAAACAGATCTCTTTGAGTTTGAGGCCAGCCTGGTCTACAAAGAGAGTCCCAGAACAGGCAAAGCTACAAAGAAAAATCCTCTCTTGAAAATACAGAGAGAGAGAGGGTGGGGGGAGGAGAGAATATTTTTATTTTATCATATGCGTTTTGCTTTGTTTGTATATATGTGCGCACACATGCATGCCTGGAGCCATCTCTCCATTCCCCCGCCAGTCCATTATTTTTTTTTAATCTAGAAAGGATCTTATTGTAGCCCAGGTTCGCCTTTGTAGCCAAGGATGAATGTAAACTCCTAATGCTCCCTTCTCAGCAAGTATGTGTGTGACAGGGATTTGCCACAAGACCTTGCTTGGTGTTGTCTCTATTACAACTACAGACACCTGAAGAGAGGGCACGGCCTCTACAGTTTGCCCTGTTGGTGGATGCAAAGGGCACCTGCATACCAAAAGTGAATAGTGTTATCACTTCCTTCACCCAGCACATCGGCCAAAAGTTTAGTCACCCCCAAAGGCAGGCACTTCAGGGTTCCAAGGCCGCCCATGCACTATCAAGCACTCAGGGCCCTCAAACCCTGGTGACACATTGCAGCGTGGTCACATGATCTACGCATGACGCAGCTACGGCAGACCCTGTTCACATGCGCTTGGCAGCCTTTAAAAGCTGGACACACCTGCTCCACTCTCTCTTCCTGCACCCACGCCCTCAAGCCTGCGCACGTGTCTTGTAAGACTTTAGACAATTCTGAAGCCATTTCTGACAATTCCAAACCCTCTCAGCCTCCGTGCCTTAGTGCTTCCTCTCCTCCCCTGGGAACCAAGGACCTAACAGCTACACATGCACATACTCAGTTCCTGAACAATTACCCATACACGTATGTTTTGACTCAGTCCCCTGGGAAACAGGGTCAAAATGACCTCTTACCTCATCTGATCTGACAATAGTTCTCCAGTCAATTATTGGTATTAGCCCTTTTCAAATAAGCCAATCATAATGGTCAAGGAACAACCCCTCTTGTTTCTATGGGGCCTTCTCCTTTAAAAGTAGAGTGTACCAGCTATTCGAGGTCTCTCGGCTTCCCGAATGCTGAGGGACCCTGTCATGACAGAATTAATAAAATCCTCATGCTTTTGCATCGGCTATGGTATATGAGGTGGTCTCTGGGGGTGACTCCTCGGTTTGGACACTAGAGTCCAACAGTCTCCCTCTCTTAATAAACTCTTCAAGTGGATTTCCTTGTGTGTCTCGTGACCCCTTCTCGCCTGCCCCCGGTAACTTCACTGGTGCCGTCATTATGGACTTGTTGAAGGCCTCCCATCTCCCCAAGGCTGTAGGAATTATTCACTGTCGGTCTCATCAGACTGACAGCTCCATTATTTCCACGGGAAATAACCGAACTGACTAAGCAGCATTCCAGAGCCCAAACCTACCTCAGTCACCTCGGGTTCATACAGCACAACCCACATTCTCACAGACACCCGTGACACTCGGCAAACCCTGCCCTACCCACATCAGCTCTTTCATCCTAATCGCCAGTCTCTGTGTCACTTTGTCAAGGCTCCAACCCATCCCCGAGGACCTAGAGTTCTTAAAAGCTATCACTGCCTTTTGTAAAATCTGTCAAAAGCCAGATCATAGCTTCCCTTTTCCCACCCCCCAGGCCAGGGGCTCCCTTCTGGGGACTGACTGGCAGCTGAATTTTACTCATATGCCCACAGACAGATGGGTTAAATATCTCCTGCTTTGGGGACGCCATGTCTGGGTGGATTGAAGCGTTTCCCACCACTAACAAGAGAGCCCAGACAGTTTCTTATCTCCTTCTCCTGGAAATTATCCCCAGTTTGGAACCCCAACTTCTCTTCAGTCGGATAAGGGCCCAGAGCTTATCTACCAGATCGCTCAGACTTTACCTAAGGTTCCCAACTAGGGCTTTTTCACGTCCCGTAATATCCTCAGTCTGCAGGGATGGTAAAATACTCTTTAAGATGTCATGGGAGCTTCACCCTGACTGGACAAAGCTTTTGCCTTTGGCTCTGTTCAGGCTCCAGGCTCTCCCCAAAAGCCCCCTTTCCATCTCGCCCTTTGAACTCATGTATGGACGGCCGGTTCTGGCTCCCGACCTCTCACCTAAACCCTCACCCATCCCTGATCACCTCCGTTCCCTCTTATGGGACTTTACTGAGTATTCACTACCTCAGCCATGTGTCAACCCCTGTCCATCTCCAATTACCATCGGCGATCAGGTTCTTCTCCCCCCCCCCCCAAGACCAATGCCCCTCATCCCTTTCCCCTAAATGGCAGGGTCCTTTTAAAGTGATTCTTGTAACTTCCACAGGTGCCAAGCTTGAGGGCTTTCCTCATTGGATTCACCTGTCCCAGCTCAGGACACCCCTCCTTGTATATGGTAACTCAAAAAGGGCCCTGTCCCTTAAGTTCCAGAGGACACAAAATCAGATACTTTGTTTCCAGTTCCAGAAGTCTCACCACCACCACCTTACTCACCTCTCCTGTACCAGGAACTCCATATGCTCTCCTTCCAGATTCTCCCCTGTTCTTCCTTCTCCTGTCTGCTTTAGCAATTTCTCTGTGTCGTCAATGTCATACTCAATCCAGTTAACCATTCAGTTGTTGTTACAGGGACCAGCATTAACTACAGAGCCAGAGGTGCAAAGACTGTCAGATGCCCAGGTGGTAAGAAACAATAACAGTTTGGGGCCATTCACAGCCCCAGACTCCAAAAACACACAAAACAGACTTTAACATAACAGGTTTATCACTGGCTGCAGCAGTGTCTCCTGAACGTTACGGCAATACCATGATGCTAAAGAGAACAAGTACCTTAAGATTTGCTCAGGCAAAACATTAAAAGGTCTAATAATTCCCCTTTCTTCCTTTCCCTCCTCTCTCACTATACAACTATCCACAATCTTCTTTTCCAATACTAAACCATTGTAACCATAAGCTTTTAATGTGTTTAAAATTTGTCTCTTTTAATAAATTTAAATATTCTCATAAGCTCCAGGGATCCAAATTGGACCCACCTAAACAAACCAGACTTGCCCAGGATAAGTATCATTTAATTCTTCCCTCGTCTCGGGATCCCTGGGAAACTCCCTCCTCCATCTCGGGAACCCTGAAACACCCCCTCCATCTTTCATCTTGGGATCCTCCTCCCTCAATCATCAGGATCTAAAATTTTCTATATCATCTTCTGCCTTGCCAGCATCTTGTCAGGTCCAAGCTGTCAGCTGGACAGTTCCACAGATCCTGGAAAACACTGAGGTAACTAGCTACCCCAGGATGTGGCCAAGCACCCCAACTCTCCAACACCCTCAAGGCATCAGGAAGTAGCCTCCAACACCCCACGCCCCATTTCCTCCAATCGGTCACCCCTAATCCCCAAGTTTTTATAATAAACAAAAGGGTGAAATGCTATCATTTCCTTCACCTAGCGCTTGGTCAAAATGTCTAGCCACCCCAAACGCTAGCGCTTCTGGGTTCCAGGGCCGCGTATACATCATCAAGCACTCAGACAATTTATGTAGCCTCCAAGGTCCCTCAAGCCCTACATGACACGTGCATCGTGGTCACATGATCTATGCATGATGCAGCTCCATCAGCCCATGAATGCATGTATGCATGCGCTCGACAGCCTTTAAAAGCTGGACAAAGCTGCTCACTCTCTCTTCCTGCACCCACGTCCTCAGACCTGCGCACGTGTCTCCTCCTTCACTTAACAAACTCTTAAAGTGGGTTTCCTTGTTTGTCTCGTGATCGTTCTCGCTTGTGGCCGGCAACTTTAAACAGACATTACTTTACCTCGTCTTTTATTCCTCCTCCTCTTTTTTTGTTTTGTTTTGTTTTTCCATTACACTGACTGTGTCCCTGGCTGGACTGGAACTCTCTATGTTGACCAGATAGGCGTGAAACTTCAGAGGTTTACCTGCCTAGGCCTTCTGAGAACTGGGATTAAAAACTCTGTTTGGCCGGGCGGTGGTGGCGCACGCCTTTAATTCAAGCACTTGGAAGGCAGAGACAGGGGGGTCTCTGTGAGTTCGAGGCCAGCCTAATCTACAGAGTGAGTTCCAGGACAGGCTCCAAAGCTACAGAGAAACCCTGTCTCAAAAAACAAACAAGGAAAAAACTCCAAACAACAAACAAAACAAAACAAAATACTGTGTCTTTTTGTCTTCAATTTTGAGCCCTAAACTGTGGTAAGCAAAATGTACGCCTGCCATCCCAAAACCTGCGAGACGTAGGAGTTCAAGGTCAGCCTCTGTTACCTGGCAATTTCGAGGCCAGTCTGCGACGTGAGACCCTTTCTCAAAACAAAACTACTAATCTCCTTGGTGCCGCAAAGAATGGGTCCCGCACCTTTCTAAAGCAGGGGCTAGGAACAAGTTCGTGCCTGGGGCTGGGTCCCGGCCTCAGGCTCTCGGCCCTTCAGACACCTGGCTGTCACCATTGGGCCGCCCAAGACGTAACATAGTGTTGATTGGGCCTCGAGTCCGTCGCTCGAGAGCGTCAGCCAATAAAACCTTCATGTCTCGTCAGACTCCGCCCCTCCCCAGCCGACTCTGGCCAGTGGGGTCCCTCGGCCCCGCCTTTGACGTCACAGTTCGTTTGCATAGAAAGGCCCGCCCCTGGCTTTGCAGGACGTCTGCGAGGACTGCAGGGGCCTGAACCTCCGCTGCTGCCTGCAGTCCGGCAGCCGCTCCTGGGGCCCTGTCGTCAGCACAGTCGCCAGGGTCGCAGCCGTCAGCATCATCTCAGCTCGGAGCGGACAAGGTGAGCTCTGCCCAGGGCCCCACGCCACGGTGCCCTCGTTTAATTGACAGCTGGGGAAGAAGCTGGGTGCGCAACTCGAGTGTGGCGGCTGTGCGTCTCGCATTCAGCATCCCGCTTCCCGCAGCCTTCACCCTTTACCCGGCACTGGAGCTCCGGCTCTGCGACAGAGGGGGAGGGGAAGGCCAAGCCTCGCGGGAGGCTGGTACGTGCTCGTGCTCGTGGGGTGAACACGCGTGTGCGCGCCCGCTGGGCATGGATAGGCTCGTGTGACCTCGGGACGCGCACCGTGCACAGCCGGCTGTGAAATCTTGTGCGTGAATGGTGCGCGTGCACGGTGTTTGTGGATCCAAGTTCAAGTATGTGCTCACACGCGTGTGGTTTCATGTGCGGTGTGTCCTTGCCAATAGCCAGGTGCACACGAGTACACTGGCTGGTGTAGGGGAATCTGCGTGTGCAGTCGTGCATGGGTGCAGTGGGCTCGCAAACATCACGCATGTTTGCTTGTTTCTCCTGCTAGCCTCTGTTTTGCACTCAGGGCAGGAGTTTAGATGGGCCTGCCTTGGGTGCTTCATTGTGTGTGCATGCGCGCGAGGGATTTTGTGCATGTGAGCCTGTGTTCACCCTGTCACGTGATGCTTCTACCTCAGAGTGCAGGAGAGAATTAAGGATGAGGGAGAATTGGGGATCCTCGTGTACTCATGCTCCCGCGTGGGTCTTTTTAGGGTAATGAAAGACTGATGATGGGAAGTGGGCCGCCTCAGTTTCCCCTCAGGGTGCAGGGAGGTTTGGGGTGCCAGGTGAAGTTCCCCGACAAACCTCTCCACCGATGCAATAATCCAAATCAGACTGAATCAAAACGAATTAGAAAAAGCTCAAGTTAAATGGATACCAGTGCTCCCGGTGACCTTCCTGCCCCCAGGAAAGGAGACAGGGAAGGAAGACCTTGTTCTCTGGGGTATGATTTAAATACCCTATGGGGTCTTGAACATCTCTGGGGAGGGGTCTTCCATTGGCGGGCTTTCTTGGAGGTGGAGGCAACTTTCTTGGAGGCAACTCCCAGGGGAGGGGCCTTGGGATGGAACTTCCACCCAAACATTCCAGACTTTTTGGGTATAAGGATGCCAGGGGCTGGGGTGACACTTCCAACCAAACACCAGGTACCTGCAGGGGTGTTCGCTCCAAGCCCGGTCACGCTGGGGGTCCTGGTGGAATGGGTGTTCCCCACCTAGTGCCCTTGTGCAGAGCCCATCCTGTGCGTGTGTCCGCTGCACTCCTCAGGCTCTCGCGCCCCGCCCCCACAGATGGCATCAGCCACAGACTCGCGCTATGGGCAGAAGGAGTCCTCCGACCAGAACTTCGACTATATGTTCAAGATCCTGATCATTGGAAACAGCAGCGTGGGCAAAACCTCCTTCCTTTTCCGCTATGCTGACGACTCCTTCACGCCGGCCTTCGTCAGCACAGTTGGCATAGACTTCAAGGTCAAAACCATCTACCGTAATGACAAGAGGATCAAACTGCAGATCTGGGTTCGTGGGGCCATGGGGGAGAAGTCTTCCTGAGCCTGGTGTGTAAGCGGGCGGGGCTCAGACACCAGGTGTTCCCAAGGGTGTGAGCAGGCAGCTGGGTAGCCCAGGATGACCCCGAACTCCTGCTACCACCTCCCCAGTAACAGGATGGCAGGCTTCCTTCCCATCAAGGTTTTATTTTTTAATATTTTCGACTTTTTTTTGAGACAGTGTCTCACTGTGTAGACCAGGCTAGCCTCGAACTCAGAGACTCACCTCTGCCTCTGAAGTGCTGGGATTAGAGGCACACACTTGGGACCCATCAAAGTTTTGATATAACATCTCATACCCTAGCACAGCAGACCTGGGCAGCATCTGGCTGAGAGCACTTTTGCGGTCATGGTCTTTGCCTCACATTGTGCTGTCCAGAAGAACATGGAGTTCCTTATTTTATTTTTTTGGTGGTGGGGTGGTTGGAAACATGGTTTCTCTGTGCAACAGCCCTGAATATCCTGGAACTTGCTCTGTAGATCAGGCTGGCCTTGAACTCAGAGATCGCCTGCCTCTGCCTCTTGAGTGCTAGGATTAAAGTCGTGCACCACCACCACCTGACATGAGTTTCTTATTTTCTTACTAGTCCTGTGAATCCCCACTTATGGACGGCATAGGGTGTGGCATAGGGCATTTGGGCAGCACCGGTCTGTGTTTAATGACTGAGTGATGTCGCAGTGACCCCCCTGGGTACAAAGGCCGCCCAGCCCACTTTTCCTGCCCTCAGAGGGGCAGCTGTGAGGTCCCTTCTGACCACCATCTCTTCTTTCCCCAGGACACAGCAGGGCAGGAGCGGTACCGTACCATCACCACAGCCTATTACCGGGGTGCCATGGGTTTCATCCTAATGTATGACATCACCAATGAGGAGTCCTTCAATGCAGTGCAGGACTGGTGAGCAACTCGCCCACTGAGACAGTAGGAGGATCTCAGTAGAAGATCCACGGTGGAACTGGCGAGTACTCCTAGCTCAACTGAGAGTACCCGCCTGGCATGAGTTCCACCCCAGTACGTCAGCAGTCGGGTAGGACAAGCCATGTGGGCTGCTTCCAAGGGTGGGGTTGTCGAAGGAACACGGGTTGACACTCAGGGAATGGTGGCTCAGGTCCGTGGTCCCAACTACTTGGGAAGCCGAGGACTTGTCGTTGGCTGAGCACCTGCCTAGCATGTGCAAGAACCTGAAATCCATGCACAACACCATAAACCTGCTGCATCTCTGGATTTGGTGTAGTAGGACAACCTGGGCTCACAAGGAATGCCTATCTCAGTTTCCAAGGGTTGGGCCCTCTGACCTCCTTCTGTGCCTCTGGCTGCCTCTGCAGGTCGACTCAGATTAAAACTTACTCATGGGACAATGCCCAGGTGCTGCTGGTGGGAAACAAGTGTGACATGGAGGACGAGCGCGTGGTGTCATCGGAACGCGGCCGGCAGCTTGCTGACCACCTGGGTGAGTACCCAGCAGGACTGCAGCCCCCGGACACCCACACACCCCACAGGTCAGGGCATAAGCCTGAAACCAGGTGGCTCACACTTGTGAAAACTAGCCACTATGCAGGTTTGGCAGTGGGTCTCGATGGGCATGGTATTTGCCACACACTCAGTCATGGGCTAGCATCTCCCATGCGCTCAGTCATGGGCTAGCTTCATGATGTCTATGTTTTTGGAATGGAAAGAGAAAGCTGGGTGGAGGAGTGCATGCTGAGAGCCAAACCATGCTTCCTGGGGCAGGCACAACATGCACGCTGTGGGAAGGGTGCTGCAGACTAGGGACAGCCAAACCTATTCAGTTGTGCCAATGGAGCATGACTACCCCCCTAGAGAAGATGTGTCTGTCACTGTGTGTGAGCTGCCACATAAGTGTTGGAGGCCTCAGGAATGGGACTGTGGAGCCTGGCTGGGTGGCAGGTGGAGGAGGGTGTCCCACCAGGGCAGGACATCTCCTCTGGAGAGGAGACTGGCTGTTATCATTCCTTCATTCCCCCAACGCAGGGTTTGAGTTTTTTGAGGCCAGCGCCAAGGACAACATCAATGTCAAGCAGACCTTTGAACGTCTGGTGGATGTGATCTGTGAGAAGATGTCAGAGTCGCTGGACACTGCTGACCCCGCGGTCACAGGCGCCAAGCAGGGCCCGCAGCTCACTGACCAGCAGGCACCTCCTCATCAGGATTGCGCCTGCTGAGCCACCCCCCACCAGGGGCAAGCCCCTACCCCATCACCCTATTTATTATCGTAGCTATTTATTTATTTATTGAGGGTGTCCCTGGACGCACCCCTCACCCCCCCCGTCTATATACCCCCCCCCCCCCCCCGCTCTGCCGTGGTGTGTTGTGGTCAATGCCCCCCAAGGCCCTCCTTTTTGGTTTTCTAAGCCACCGCATCCACAGTTGTCGGTTGTGAAGAGGGGACCAGATGTCACTCTGAAGCAGGCTGATGGGAGATGGCAGGGCCTAGCCAGCCCCGAGGCTGGGGGATTGCCATGTGGACCACTGGGTTGACAGACTGGCATCCTGCTTGTTACTTTATCTTTGGGGAGACAGGATGTGGAGAAGGAAGGGAGGATCTATTCACCTTCACTGCTTTGGGATATCCCCACACCTGTTCTGACGTCATGAGTGTCAAATGTGTTCCCCCACTTCCCTAGAAGTTATGAACACTACACACAGTTCAATAAAGTGAATGGACCTTGCTGAGTCTCTGCAGCCCCACCCCACCCCACGCCAACCACTGGCAGCCAGCCTTGTGAGTAAAGAGAATTTAATGAAATTTTCACAAGGCTGCCCAACCTCACATGAAGTTTTCTAAGGCCAAACCAGATCCTATTCCAAGGCCGTGGGGGCTCGTCCTCCCTTTTGTCACCTGGGGTCCAGGGAACCTTGGGGATCACTTGGGCCAAAGTTGAGCCAGGGTTGCAATTGCAGGTTGACTGAGAACTTCTGGGCCCAACTGGAAAACCTGGCGACTGACAGCTGGTGCCGGAGGTTGGTCCACGTGGAATAGCTGTTGCAGGCTCAGCCTGGAGTGTGGACGTGGCTCAGGCTCTGACCCCCAGAACCTCCTATGGGAGTGTGTCCATCGGCCTATTTCTCCTTGGTGCTTCCTGCTCAGTCGGCACAGTCAGGAGTCGGCACAGTCAGGAGTCGGCACAGTCAGGAGTCGGAAGGGGTTCCGGGGCCTGTGTACAGCGGAGGGCGGGTCACGGCAAGCATAGGGCAGGGCCTGCACTCAGGTCTTCTCACCCAGGGGTTAAGCTCACCCAATACTTCAGGTAGGACAGATACGTGTCCCAGCCCAGTGTCAGCCCGTTGATGTAGGTGACTCGGAAATGCGGCGGGATGAAGAGGAAGTTCACGAGCTGAGCAGCTGGCCAGACGCACCAATCTGCCTGCGGGAAGGCAGGGGCTGCAGTGAGCTGGCTAGGAAGGTGGGTCAGCGAGGCCGCATGGGGGGAGCTACGGTAAGGGCAGCATGGGCACGCCCACCTTGTAGAAGTCCCAGAATTTGACCCGCAGCTCCTGGCAGCTCTCCTCCAGTGTCTGGCCCTCCAGGCTGCCAAGGCCTGGGAAGAAGATCAAGCGGTGAATGTGAAGGCTGAGCTGGCTGCTAGGCAGCGGAAGCGGCAGAGCTGGCTGTGGGAGTGACCCGGGCAGAGAAGCAAGGCCGGTCAGGGGAAATGTGAAGTTGGTGTCGCTCAGTCCAGGTCGACTGACTGCAGCTTTGTGTCCAAGCTGCTCCTACGACCCTCAGACCCCGGCCTTGCCACCCCACCTCTCCCCACTGGTCTCCTAGCCCCCTTTCCTCTCATGGGATCTGTCCCATCCCCATACGATCCTGTCCCTATTCCAGGGACACTCTCCCAACAGGTACAATAGTGCAATATGGTTGTGCTCTCTGCCCTTGGGAGGCCGAGGCGCCAGGGCTGCACAGTGAGGCCTTCACTGTCATCTTGATTCAGCCTAGAATCAGATGAGCATCTCCAGGAACTATCTACATGGTGGCCTGTGCTATCTCTGTATAGACTTAAGTTAATTGATGTGGGAAAACACAGCCCACTGTGGGCTTCACCATTGCCGAGGCAGAAGGTCCTGGACTGGAAAGAGAAGCTGAGCACAAGTGAGCAGCTGCAATTCTCTCTCACCCTGGATGTGGCCTAACTAGTACTGGGAGGCAGAGGCAGGCGGATCTCGGAGTTCGAGGCCAGCCTGATCTAGAGTTGCGTTCCAGGACAGCCAAGGCCACA